ATAGCAGACGACAAAATTGTCTAAGAATTCACGAAATACATCATTCATGAGATGTTGAAAAGCAGCTGGTGCATTCGTGAGTCCAAAAGGCATGACATTATATTCGAAATGTCCATACCTGGTTCGAAACGCAGTCTTCCATTCATCTCCTTCTTTGATCCGTACTAGATTATATGCTCCTCTTAGATCTATTTTTGTATAGATCTTAGCTTGATTCAACTGGTCAAGGAGTCCTGATATCAAAGGTAATGGATACCTGTTCTTGATTGTGATCTTGTTGAGTCCTCGATAATCAACACACATTCGTAAAGATCCATCTTTTTTCTTTACGAATAGAATTGGAGCTCCTGCTGGAGATTTTGAATTGCGTATGAAATTCTTCGCTAAATTCTCGTCAATATATGTCTTGAGTTCAGCCATCTCATCTTGCGATAAACTATAAATTGGTCCAAATGGTGGCTGAGTTCCTTCCTTGAGGTCGATTGAACAATCATATGGACGATGCTCAGGAAGAATATCTGCATTCTTTTTCTCAAAAACGTCTTGATACTCCTGATATTGACTTGGAATGCCACTTGAAGTCTTTACGTTTTCAGAAATAGGTGTAGCATAAATAGCAAAAGTTGATCCTTCTTTTGCTGCGTGTATAAATGCTTTTGCACCTATCAGTACGGGTTTTACTATACTAGACTTATAATTTTTTACTTGGTTGGTAGAACTATTAATAACGCTTTGGGAAAAGTCAAGTTTACGTGAATTCCAATCTATTCGAGGGTTATATTTTTCTAGCCAGGATAAACCTAAAATAACTGGATTAGACGGGGATTTAATTATGTTAAAAGCTATGTAGCTATCATGACCGTCTATTGTTACTTTTATAGGATGAGTTTCATGAGTGACATCTCCAGAAGATAAGGGACGACCATCTATGACTTCTACATGTACTGGTTTAGGTTTCTGTATAAAGGGTATTTTACGACTTTTAACAAATTGTTCATCTAAAAAACATGCTGAGGCTCCCGAATCTAATAAAGCAGAGGCTTTGTAATTCTTAGGTCCTAAATATAAGTCTATTATAAAATAAGGAGAGGGTTCTGAGGAGAGGATAGGACCTTCATTAGGAATTGTATAAGGTTCCAGCTGCACGGTCCCTATTGTAGCTGGACGAATCCGTTTTCCGACATGTTGTCTTCTTTGACCGTCGTACCCCTCATTTTATAGTTGCGTCGTTTGTTTGGACAATGTTGAGTAGTGTGCTTAGGTTCTTCGCAATATAAACATAATCCTTCTTGACGACGACGAATCTTTTCTTGCTCAGTTAGGGGTTTAAAACGTACCGCATCAATTTGCATGTCTTCTACTTCTGAATGTACGTTTGGCAAAGATGTTGATGTTGCCATTGAGTAATAACGTTGAGGTTCCCGTGAATGATTCTCGGATCGAAATTCGAAAAGTCGATTATCACATTTTACCGCAAAATCGATTGCTTGACTCAAAGTTTGAGGATCAGGTAAGTTGAGCATCAATTTCTTTACTTCGTATTGCAATCCACAAAGAAATTGACTCATGAGTGCAGCATCATCCCACTTAATGTCAATTGCAAGTTGTCGAAATTGTGAAGCATATACTGTTACTGAGCGATTTTCTTGTCGCAGAATTCGGATCTTATTTGTTGCAACACGAGTTGCATCGTGTTCACCATACATAGATCGAAACTCTGCCAAAAAAGCTTCTAAATTGTCCAATATTGGATTTCGTTGTTCAAGAAAAGACGAAAACCATGATAATGCAGAACCAGAAAGTAGAGTGTCAATAAACCTGACTTGTGATCCTGGAGTTGGATAGCTTTGCGGTTGAAGTTCAATTGCCAATTGTACTTGATTGATGAATCCTCGAAACTTTGATCTCGTACCATCAAATTTCTCAGGTAATATACACCAAAAGGCTATCTCGATATAATAAGTCAAAATATAAACAAGTAGGTATATTAAAAGGAAACTGGAATGGCTATTGCCACAAGACAAGAAACTAAAGACTCTTGAACCTGGATTAGAAGCAAGAAAGGAGTTGACAAGAGTGAAGAAGCCTTCACTCTTGTCTCTATATATACTATCTAACTAGGGGCTACGTGGCGACGTTCTATAGGACCTCCAATATGTGTTGACTTTGTAGGACACATGCCTTGACTTACAAGGCAAGTTTTTCTACGTGTGGACCACATAGTTAGCTTGATCTTCAAGCTAACAACATGTGTGGCACATGGCCAACTTGTTGACCACGTTTCTAATCCAAAAAGTCAATTAAAGACACCTATGAAGTCAAAGCAGCGTCTAGGAAGTTTCTAGGAAGCTTCTATATTAAATATTATAGAATTAACTTACTTTTATCTACTTTTACTTACTTCTATCTATTTCTATATGTAATTATTAGCTTACATGATTATGGCCGTGACATAGAGCCTTCAAAGTCAACAAATCTAGCAACAAAATAATTTACTACAAAGATGGGCAAACTTCAAGCAAGTATGAAGACACACCTAGAAAAGGCTCAATAATGTTATAAGCTAGTGGCAGATGAATTAAAGAAGGAACATCCTCTATTCCAAGTTGGTGACAAAGTGTGGTTTCTATGGTGAAATACAAAAACCAATAAGCCATGTAATAAATTGGACTATCAAAGATTGGAACCATTTGTGATTCAAAAATAAATAAATAACATAACTTATCACTTGGAATTACCTTCATCTATGAAGATTCATCCAATCTTTTATGTTTCACTTTTAGACAGGTATAAAGAATCAAACATACTAGGTCGAAGACAACCACCACTTCCTATGGTTGAAATCAATGATCATGTTGAATTTGAAATAGAAGAGGTATTAAATTCAAGAATAAGACATAGAAGGCTTGAATATCTAGTTCATTGGCATGGATATGATATCAACGATCGCATATAGGAACAAATTGGTAACCTTATAAATGCATAAATGAAGGTTCAAAAGTTCCATCATCAACATCCATAAAAACCAAAAGCAGCAAAATGAGGAACAATAGCTTAGTAAGATAGCTTCACCATGAAAATTCTTATTTCTTGGCCTCTTAAAGAAGAGGATGAGGTAGCCTCTGAAGAGGCAATTGTTTCAAATATTTAAAATAATATAAGTTAGTAATTTGAGTTCACGACTATCCCCTATTTATATTCTTTTGATCTTATCTACTTTATGTGATATAGATAGTCAAGAGATAGACATCCTGTTAGTTATACCATCTCAACCAAATAACTCATAGAGACAACCCTGAGATGAAGAGCCACCTAAGCCACGAAGTCGACTTCGAGATGAAGAGCTACTTGAAACATAAAGACATCAAAGGATACTCAGTAATAAATCGCCGTTAAATTGTGTTTGAGATAGAACTTGCTTAAAAAAGATGTCCAAAAAGACGATTTGTAGAACAATTCCATAACAAAGATATCAAAGTTCATGCGTGGTCACAAGCAGAAGGCTTAGAACACTGTCGATGGCTATAAGGGCCTATAAACCATTTTTCTCACAAAAAACAAGTGGAATATATAATGGACACCATGCGACAAATCTTCAACTTCTTGTGCATATACTTATTTGTAGCAATATTGCTTCTTAGAGACCTCGAAGCTAGAGGAGGAGGTGATATCACGGACATACAACTGAAGAAAGTTTGAGAAGGTTATAAGAGGTTCTTGTAGATCTTAGAAGATTCTAAAAGATTCTAATAGATTCTAAGAAGGTTCTAATAGATTTTTAAAAAAAATTTAAAGGTCGTAAGAGATCCTAAAAGGTTCTAAGAGGCTTTAGATGATTTAGGAAGTTGTCGAAGAAGGATTTTAGGCTTGTTTTGTTTCCAAGCCTCTTGAAAACTTCTCAAGAAGCTTCCTTGCACCTAATATATATAAGAGTTGAGGCTGAGGAAATCCTTAGTTTCAACAATTCATCTTCTATCCAATTATTATTCTAATGTTATTATTCCAAGATCTTCTTGCCTTGTATCCAGTTATTATTCTAATATCGAGCTAATTCCATTTCATGGTCTTGAATCCTAGTCTTGTATATGGTTCCTAGCAATGTGTAGAAATAGTATCTCCATGATTTACATTAGAAATACATGAAATTTCTACTCTTACAATGTTGATACACTCATAGAGATCTCTATTAGTTGCAAATTTATTCTCATTTCTATGAAGATTAGCATATATAATCTTTCTTTTCATAGACAATTCAATAAATTCAAAAAGTTAAATTAGAAGAGAGTAATCTACAACATGTATTATGAAATGAAAATTTCCAAAAAGAAGGTTAATCCACTCTTTTTAAGGAATAAATTAGTGTTAAAAAATTAAACTATTTGTTTAAAGATAGGTTGTCTACAACTTTTAAAATAGAATAATAGAAGTGGGATAATCTACTTATATTTAAAATAAGAAAAGAACAATAAGTTAGTACTCTTGTCAAACTATCAAGGACATGAATTTTAAAAAATTGAAAGATCAAGACATTCTTACCTTATTCAAAACGACTAGATAATGACTTGAAGATAGTATAATATTAAAATAGAATGGCTATTGCTAAAGACTAGAAGACTAAAAAGTCTTGAAACTAGACTAAAGACTAAAAAAACATTGACAAGAGTGAAGAAGGCCTTCTTCACTCTTGCCTCCATAGATACTATTTAACTAAGAGCTATGTGGGTATATTCTATAAAACTTCCAACATATATTGACTTTACAAGATATGTATCATAACCTGTAAAATGCGTTTTCTGTATGTGCACCACATAAATTTGTTTTGCACATTCGGATTTAGGTGACGAATCATTCGTGGAGCCAAGGATGTGCAAGGGATGATAAAATTGTAACTCTATACTCAAGGCTGATTGGCAGACCATTCATTCATCCACCCGGGAGAGTTGTGACTCCTATCGCCGCGCCTTTGAATCCCCAACCACAGCTTCCATCTTTCGCAAGATTCCGCAAAACATTGTTTGTTTGATCGAGATCCCGCAATCTGAATTCGAAGACAGAGTGTTGAATCGTCACATCTGCTCCTCCTTCCAAGCGTATTTGTGGACGTTGGAGCCACACCGGACTTAGGGTTGCAACTCTGTGAGCTCCTTTGATTCCTGAGTGGGTGAGCCTGTTCACTGAAGGGCTCGTTAGGATTAGAGATCGTGGGTTTCAAGGTTTCAGAATCTCCAGTCAGTTTATCGAGCTTCGGACTGTGAACTTCAGGCTGAAGACATCCTCGAATTTTGCTGTTGATTGGGAGAGATTTCTGGCTGGACCGTGAAGTTGATGTGATAATGCAGAACACACCCTAAGGTCTTTCGAGATGCTTTCGATGTTTTAGTGTATGAGTCTGGCCCCTTGTTTATTATGGTCGAACAGCATGTACGTTGAAGAATTTGATTTCATTTTTGGAACTCTAGTGGCTGATTGAGTTAGATGTATTGAAGAGAAGTGAGAAAATCTGAACTCTGTAGTGGAACACTAGTGGCGCGGTAGGTTTTCGTGCGACGCAATTCTGACGCCCCACTTGATGCTTTGGTTCCAGGTTCTTTAGGTATCAAAAATTTCTTGTAGGCCCTAAGAGTTTCAGGAGGTGCAACCATGGCCACTGCACCTGCGCATGTAGCAGGCCCTACTTTCAGCTTGAAATCTACGCTTGCATTCTCCTCGTTTGACTCGAGGCGGATAAACTCGAAAGGATTGTCTGCGCACGCATCTTTGCGCATTCATCCTAGTGGAAGAGTGAGGGCGGTGTCAGAAGGAGAACCCTCTGGCTCTAAGGAGAGTATCAGCAGACCTGTAATAAGGCGTAAGAAGAGCTCTCCATCTCCCGGAAATTCAGCACCTGTTTCAGAGGATATTCGGACGCAATTAGAGACGGTGTTGGTAGAGGACGAGCGCGTGAACTTGGAGGGTGTTGGTAGGGTGGACCGTGAATCATCGTCACCGAGCTTTGATTGGGGGTGCGTTGCTTTCATGTTACCTCCTCTCGACTAGAAAAAATGTTGAAAATATTCTAGACGTTGTTACGAGGGATTCGGAGATTGAAAGCCTTTATCTAGATGTCAGGTGAATCCACGTGTGTCAAATGGACGATTTTACCGTTTGACTGATTTGTGTGATAATGGTTTAAATTCCTTGCAACATGCGAACAATTTAATTAGTGATTCAAAATTCACTCGGAAGGTGTGATAAAAGTTTATCTCTATCATAGAGGAGTCATTGTACAATTTTGAGTGAGTTAATGAGTGCAAATCTTGTAGCATTGAACAAATCCCATAACCTGTTTCTTGGTTTTGGGTACAGGCGGGCAGGAATACTTGTTGCTGGTGATTTGGTGGCACTTATCACCTTTGCTGTCATTGGTAGATATAGCCATGGTCTCACCGGCTTGAATTGGGATGTCATACAGACGGCTGATCCTTTCATTGCAGGTAAGTCATAAGTCTTGGGCATCATTATATATTAAGAACCTTGAATTTGGGGACTGTGAATAACCTCTCTCGGCCACTGAAGTGTCTACTCTATTTATGTTGGCGTGCTTAAATGGCTTCAGGCACTTATTTTCGTATGTCCTGTCTTGCACTCATCTGCACTTCATGAGTTGATGCATAGATTGAGAACTTGGGGCTTGTTTTGAAAGGTATAGATTAATTACGTTCAGTTTGAGTTGGCGAACTGATGAGATCGGGTTATTGTTTTGCAGGGTGGCTTCTGGGGTCTTTTTTCCTGGGAGGCTATGGCCCTGACGGTCAAGGTATGAATGGCGTATCTGGCGCCGCCACTGCTGCTATCAAGTCCTGGGCTGTGGGAGTCCCTGTAAGATTGTCTCAGCTTGCTCTCCGCTTTTGAATTGCATTTGAATTACTATGTGAATTTGAGAAGGTCAAAAACAAATAATAAAAACGAGACACTTGAGGACACCACGATATTCTGAAGATTAGTGCAGCATTACTTCATGTTCCTTATAGCATAATTTAGTTCTAAGTTATCAGAAGATATGCCTGTCATTGAACTATAAGAGGCATTGGACCGGTCCTGACAGGTTTTGGGTTGGACTTGACAGCTTGGGCTTGTTATCAGAACCATAGTGACATCTCACGTGCCGGCACAAGCTTTTATCCTCGTTTCCTTGGGAAGCTTGTTCGTTCTTATGGTTGGTTGGCGTATCGCATATGTATACGTCTTCGCTAGCGGTGAAAAAGCTGTACCCACGAAGGCGAATCGTCGGGGTGGTGTATTTGAGTTTTTTGAGGTATGGCCTTCATCATGTCTGAATCCTAGTTCACTGTCACGGTTCTGTCATAAAATTAGCCTTGGCAAACATTCTCTCCTGTCAATGATCACCATGATTATTTGATTGCCATGGAATCCATACGAGAAGATATTTTACAACTCATAACGGTTGAGGTGTGTTTTCTCTGCTTTCAGCTCCTGACGTCGCTAGTGAGAAGATGGTAAGGCTTCGGAGGCCTTCGATGGTGGCGGCATCTATTTGAGTATTTGAGAAGAACTAAGCCCATCTTATCTCTGGAACATCTGGAGATGATCTGCTTATACCCGGAGTTAGTCTTGCTGGTGTGGGCATCCATGACTTTCCTACTTATTTGAGTAGGCTAATTTTTGCACGACTCAAACGGCTGCAGCACGCCAACGATGAAAATGTGAATTGAAGAGCAACGCAGGCATCAAGGTCGTAGCTGAAAAATTGGTTGGTCATTTTTTGTAACCATTTTAAGTAAATTTCTAATGTAGAACTTTTCTGAAGTTGGTCAAAGTGATCCATTTAAGACTGAAACTTAGCCGTGATAGGATAGTGTAGTAGACGCTACTGAGAGAATGGCAAAGTTTCGGAGGACTTCGACTGAAAGTACGTCTGGTACGTCTGGTTGCATGCCTCGGCCAGCTTTCTTTGAATATCAAAGAGATTGAATTGGGCATGTGTTGCTGAATTTGCACTGTATTGAAAATTAGAGTTCTTATTTTATTTTATTTTCATAACAAATTTGTGCAGCCATTTATAATCGCTGAGATGGAAAAGGACATGGAACACAGAGGTAAATGAAAAATTGGCATGGATTTTACAAAAGAACGATCATTTTCATGTCTTGTGTTGCCAGTTTTTTTGGTAATGGTTTTGAAAAACAGTTTAACTGTTCATGATAGTGTTCATAGTACAAATGTTAATGACTTCATCATTATTAAACAATCTCATCTTGTCCACAACTAGTGTTCTTGCTGAAAATACTCATATCTTTGATGAAGGTTTGTTAAATGTATTCTATTTTGGAGGACAAATTCGGAAGTCACACCAAGATATGTTTTTTCATTTTATTTCTGCAGTAGCATAAAAGCAAATTATGCATGTCTTAACCTTTTAAACATTATATGTTTTATGGTGAAAGTCAAATTTGGAGACATCAAAGTTAACATTCTTTTCATGTTTTTCATAATACTTTGAATATATTTTAAGAAATCAAATTTTTTATGTTTTTAACTAATGACTCTAAAGAGTAAATTCCACAAATTTTAATTATTACATCATCTAATTTCTAAAGATTAATTTTTTGAATAAAGTTCTAAAACCTAAAACTTCTATTTTTATTAATTCATCAACCCAAGAGGTTTTTATCAAAACTCCTGTAGAGTATTTACAAAATCTATTTCTTGGAAAAAAAACACTCATCCAATATCCAAGTAAGTAATTAAAATCCAACTTTGTTATCTATTATTATTGACAAATTTTTACTATTATTACTATTATTAACAACTTTCTTGTTTAAGCTAATCTCGAAATCCTAAAACCAATATTAATTTGGCAAAATCCTTTATAAAATTCAAATGTAAAGAAATTTTAAAATTTGAATGACGGAAAAAATTTAATTAACTTTCTATTTTTTATTTTTATAAAAACGTCACTTTAATTAATTGAGGTTGTTGTGAAATGGTTTTTTGAATTTCAAATTTACATATTTGAAATATATATATATTGTAAAAATTAATGCATGTTATATTTAGTTTTGAAGTAGAATTGTGTTGTAAAATAATTTATAACTGAATGTATTGAAGTATAACTTTAAATATACATACATACATACATACATACAAGAGAATGTTAAATAGACCTAGGCTTTTACTAAATCAACCTACAAATGATGAAACATATGATAATCATAATGAATGTGGTTAATTTTCATTGGTTTCAGATGAGTAGTGGAGAAGTGAATCTAGTAGTCATTGATGATGGGTGTGTCAATTTAATAAAAGCCTAGATCTATTTAACATTCCCATATATATATGTGATTAAAAAAGATTCTCTATGTTGCAATGAATTATATCTCGTATTTTCCCATCTTTGTCGAAATGTTCTTTTTAGATTTTTTAAACCTACTTGCAAATTGTTTTACTGTCCAATCTGGGTCCATTCAGATGAAGAAGTCAATCAAAACGGCTCAACAGCATCATTCAAATTGAAGACGAAGACGATCGTCCTCACAACGAACGGAACAGATTTGGCTCGACGAAATCCGCATTCTTCGTTGGACGTAGATGGGGCTCAATGTGAGCCAGCATCGTCTTTTATGCTCACCGGAATGGCTTTCGAGTTCACTGGAACTGAGTGCAGTTCGGCATTTTGTGCTTTTGTCAATGTTTCTGGAGCCACAATCGAATGCAGTTACGAAGATGCAGCAGGAAAGCCGATGATCTCTCTCGATTCTTTATAAAAGCACCAGAATTTCAGCCACCTGCGCTGTAATTCCACTCGACGAGGTGGAACTAGTGTGTGGAGGTGCAACTGGAATGCAGGCTTCCACAGGGATTACTGTTGTGAATCCTGTTCGGAAAGCCCCGATCTGGCTGTTTCATGACCACAATGATTTTTGAATTGCACTTCCAACGCATTTTAGAGTTCTGTGTGTGTATGTGTGAGTGAGCGAGTGAGTGAGACCTGGGTGGGAATCCTGCGCTGCAAATTGGCAAGGTTCGGTAGCTTGTAGAGAACGTATCAGTCTTGAAGGGTCACTATCGTCTCGTTGTAGTAACTGTAACTACGTTTATTGTGTTTTTTTTTGGTGGTCTTGATCTCTGTGCTGATATCCTCGGGTATCGAGACTTTATTCCAAGTTGTGTGTTCGTCGCGGCTGCTGGAATTGGGTGGGTTTCGAGGTGGGCGTAGTGAAGTTCGGCAGCTGGGTTAGGATTTCGACGGCAATTCCGAGAGCGGCGAGTGTAGGGATGTAGGTGATTGATTCTTGGGTTGTCCGAATTGCGGCCACTTTGTTTGCTGGTTTTCGTTTGTTTTTTTAGAAGTGTTAAGCTGGCTGGTTGTCTTTGTTGTTGAGTGTGCTTTGAGGCGCAGTTTCTAGAGCGGTTGCTGGATTGTTATGACCGGTTTGGGTTAGGGTCGATGAACAGAACTTCGATGTCTCAATTAAGAAGTTCTCCTTCTTCCAATCACTGTACCTTAAAATTCGTTTGGGTTGAGTTATGTCGAATTGCTCAATTTTATGACCACACACAGAGTTCTGGGGCTTCAGTCTCGAGTTTCGACCTTGCTGGTTCTGATTTTAGTAAATTTTTTCCAACAATTTCGTTCTTGCAGAATACGCATGGTTTTTATTTTCTTTGCTAACCTGCCAAACTTCCTTCGAATTCTCTACATACCAACCTCATCCAGTGACTATGTTTCTGTAGTTAATCGAGTGAGGGTGTCAGTTTGTAACTTCGGTGTATAATCTCTTGTCATTGACGTTTGTGAACTGCCTGGCATCCCGAGAAAACTATGTTGTTTGTTGATTGCTTGGTGTCTCAACTACCTTCATCCATTTTCCTTCTCAAGGACAATTTTTATAATATCCGCTTCTTTATTTTCGGAATTCTGTTGTTCCTATTAGAGCCTTTTTGCATGATTTGTGCTCCACTATTTTCCAATTCCGGCATAATAAAATACATTTAGAACTATTAGGGCACTCTGTTTTGTAGGGCTACATCCCCTCTCTGGGTTTGACGAAACAATTTTTGATGTCAAATTTAACACCCGTGGACAAGTGAGGAGCAATTTGCTTCGCTATGATCGAATTCTCTGAAACATGATTGTTATGGTAAGATTATTGCAAGAAGCGTGTGCCTATTATACGCCAAGTATATCCTACGTGAGAAGCCGTTGAAGGTTTATATGCTCGCGATTTTTACAGAGGACATGCTTTGATGAAGAAAGATATGGACGAAGAAGATCTTATCTCACGGGTATGCTCTAACACTCACCACAGAAGTTGGTTTTACTGGGCGTTAACAGGGTAAACCACATCATGCTTAAAGCAGGACACTCAAGATTTTTATTTTGTGATGTACTAACAAGCGTAACTTGCAATCTATTAATCCTGCAATGAATGCTGCTCTCATGTGTCATTAACATAAGAGTTTTGTATCAAAATGGCAGAATGCCTCCGGGAGCACTAACGATCGCCACCATTGTTTCTTGTGGTATAAAACTCTGTGATGTCCGATAAAAGAGAACAAACTGGGTTGGACGTGGTAAGGAACCTGTTTGATGTCATGCTCTTCATAGAAACTGTTGACTGGAATGAGGATATCTAATCCTCGTCAAATAAAAGTGATATCCAATAATCTTACTACATTTCGCTTACTTACAGTCATGAGCATCATAGAAGATTATTTATAATTATGGAAGTGTCCAAGCATGGGTAAGAGAGATTGTAGTATTTCAATATATGTTTGCGATCAACAAACTATCTTTGTTGAAGCACTTGAGGGTAAGAGGCTCTTCTGATTTTCTGGCCTGCTTTTGAACGTTGTTTTCAGGTTTACGGATTGCTGTTGGATGCTTGGGGCGATAATGAAGACCTTGGACATAGTACCTTTGAGTTTGAATTGGCACTACGAGTGAAGAAATGGGGTGATTTTCCCTATGGTAGTGTTTGAATGATGGGGGCAATGGGGAGCTTTGACGTGCTACCTGATTCCATAGCCTGTTTAATATTGTCGAAACTTGAAAGTGCGCAAATGGTTGCTCAATGTGCCATGGTGTGCCATCGTTGGAAGACGCTAGCCAGGCTAGTAGACACCCTCACTTTCGAGTCATTCAAACTCTTGGAGAAGAAGGTGAAATTTCCGTTCAATTAGCTGCAAATGTCTACTTCTTTCTTGTTCCGTTTTAGTCATCTCAGCCCTGTAACGTTTGTGTTTGTGTGGAACTCTTCCATCTTAACAGTTGGATAAGAACAGGAATGCTTCATGCCTGGAAACAATTGTAACTCAAATGTTATTGAAGACCCATGGCATTCGAATTCTTAAGATCTCGTATCACCCAGTTGTGTGGCCTTGGATACCCAACGACTACTTCTCAGAAGACAGGGTACATTACTGATCTTTCGTAGACTGATCCATTTTCTGTGAGAGTATTATTCAAAGTGAATGTCCACAGCAAGCTTATATGCTCAGGTCTTTTTAACATTTAAGACTGCTGGTGATCTGGTTATAGGTTTGTCAGTGGCTGCAGCATGTGAATACTACCTTGGAGCGACTAACACTTGTTGATCCAAACCGTGCAAGGCCACAGCCTAAGAAGTTACTCCATCTCACAGATTGTAAAAAGTTGCAGTGGTTGAACCTGTGTTACGGTTTCATTCCTGTGTTGCCTGCCTCGCCTGGACGGTTCGAACAGTTGGTAACCCTTCATCTTGATCTGATTTTAATTTACGATAGTGCGCTTCAGACACTTGTGGAGCTTGCACCAATCCTCGAAGATTTAAAACTGAACTCCTGCAAGGGTCTGCGAACCCCTCACTTCACAGCTTTAAAGCTCACCTCTCTGGAGTTTGCAAATGACATGGATGTGGCTACAACACCAATTACTATGGTCACCGTGAATGCACCAAGCCTGGTTTCCGTGTCTCTGAGCCATGTGGAGGAGCTCGTGATGAACGGCTTCACGTTACAGAACCTTGCTCTGCTTTGGCATGTCCGACCTAACATAAGAGAGCTGCCAGTGTTAGAGAGTCTGCACATTAGCGGCGAGTCCTGGGCGTTGGATTGTGTGACTCATTTGATTCGACTGGGGACAAATTTGCGCTCCCTCCGCATTGATGCGTTTTTCGAGCGCAAGTACCCTATCCAGCTGCAATCACTACTCCGTCACTTGCAGGAGCTAGTATCTATCCATATAGGCGCCGACTTTTTTGAGGTTTGCTCCGAACACTACCTGCACACTCATTACCGTTCGTGTCGATTCTCGTTTTGGCGTAGAAAGAAAAGCTGCATAGTTGTCTCGGAAGGAGTTGGATGTGCATTGGTAGGTATGTAGCATGATTTTTCATTATGAAATCCATGACTGCTCGAGGACCAAGGAGTAGCATGTTTGGATTTTTTAGTCACCTGAGTGCTGCTGCTATGCTTCTCTGTTCTCCTACCCTGAGTGTATTTCATCGTTTTCTGCATGGAACCCAGTGTCTACAAACAGCAGGAGGCGCGGGGGCAGCTTTTATGCGGATGCATGCAATGGTTCTCCCTAGGCTAGAAAATATCATGGTTGTTATCAGCTGCGGGAACAACAATTGCATCTCTGTCCTGGTCTCTCTCCTGAAATGTGCACCAGCACTACGGATTCTCAGAATCGATGCCGAAAATCTAAGGAAGAGCATGGACAACGTAATGTTCTTCAGTAACCTGTTGGGACTACAGAGGGACTACCCTCAGGTCAAGGTTTCACTCGCATGTCCTCAGACCCTGCTCTAAATACTGTAAAACTATGTAATTAACACTTTACCTTATCACCTGAGTAGGTCAGTGTTGTACCTCTCAGAAGCTTTTTTGTAGCATAGTGCTCAAATATAGTTAATACGCACACTCCTTGTCCTAAAAAATTGTGATATTGTAAAATTTTAGGCTGTCTGAAGGTTGTCTGATCCCCTGTAACCATGTAATATATCTGAGATGTCCCTGTAAAGCTGTCTACTCGAGCCAAGTCGTGATGTTGAACCCTATTGCACAGTAGCAATATGGTTTGTAACGTTTGTAACGGCTAATTTAACTAGGGTATTTGGGAACACTATATTATAATCAGTGCCTCATATCTCGAGCCTCAGACCAACTCTGGAAAATCAAACCTGGAGACAACTTGCATCACATCAAAATGCTTTCCCTAGCGTATTAGTCTTGTCAATTTTCTGCAGATCACTGTTTATCAGTTTCCTACATGGGGTCCAGTGAACCAGAAAGGCTGCTCTGATAGGCTGCTTTGGAGCACGTGTAAGCTGAATATTGTAAAAATTGAAACGAACTTCGACCAGAGTCTTAAAGAATTGTGTTCAGTCTCTCAGTTTACTAGCGTAGAATCTGGCAATCTAGAATTAGTTATATGGTGCTCCAATCTGAAGATACATAGTAGGAGCAACCCAGTCTAAGTCCTAAGAAAAAGCGAATCAGAAGTGCACAACGAACGTATGCAGCCAGTCCAGGTACAGTACAGGAAAGTTGCTCTACCTTCAATACATTCTAACAAAGCGAGGCCTACAATTCGAAGAAAGAATAATTTGGGACCTGCACCCAAAAAGGAACTGGTATAATTGAGACCAATTCAAATTAACAACTTGCGACTGTGACTCAAAGGCCAAAATACTAACGCAGCATTGCCAGCAAGATTCTTTGCCCTAAGTATTGACAAAATAAAGACATTTGCAATTATCTCTAGACACAAAATCAGTCGTGGAATCCCTCTTCCAACAAAATATTTGTGAGACAACCTCAAATGTCAAATTGAAGATCTAGAGAAAGGTGGGAGACCGAAGGTGTTCACCATAAAACATTCATTTGCTGTGACTTCTGGCGAATCCAGCATTACAAAAGGGGCAAAAGAGAGCAAGTTATGCGTCCAGGGGCTAATCTGGTATCTCTGACCGGCGAGTAATCGGCTCTAAAGACTTCAAAGGATTTTCTCTATGCTGGGACTCCCTAGCTGTTGATGCTGCCTCCATGAAGAGAAGGCGCCCTGCATTATGATGGACCGCACAGAAATCATAACCGTGTCGGACAAAACAATAGTTTAATGTAACATATCACGTGGGAACATTAACGAACACAAGGCGTAACTAGCTTGCAGCAATTCGTGAAAGTTTTGCAGTGGCTTTAGGCTCCATACTGTACAATATTACCACCATCGAATGAAGACGCTAAATGGTCATATAAGAGCATAAGAATACCATTTTGGCGTACTGCAATCTCTCGAATACGCTTTACTTGCTGTGTATTGGGGTCGTTGTAAATTCTTGTCTCAATGTTGCCTTCTACATACACCTGTGATCTGATAAGATGGACAACTCAACGTCAGAAACTAGTTACTTTTTAACTTAACACGCTATAGGGCTAGCACTAGAAACGCCGTTCTCACGTAGGTCACAAACTACACTTCTCAGCACGAACCTCATCAAACTAAAAATCAATCGGGAAGCTTGGAGGCAACTTACCCCTGCTTCATTGAACGCAAGATGAGTTGCCCTATTCTTTCCTGATAAACAGCTATTCTATGCCACTGTATACTGCTGCGCTCTGCAAACTCTTCAGGGGTCTCGCCATCTAACATTTTACGATTGAGGTGCATTCCTCCGGTTCCCACAGAAAAAATGGTGACTGCTCGCCCACTCTTCAAGACTTTTTGAGCAGGAGCTTGACCGACCTTTCCCAAGAGTATGGCCTAAATTTAGTGACAAAATGCGTGGATTGGTTAGTGAAGGTAACTACCGAATTCAAAGGTTAGCCACAAGGGTTGTGATATGAGAAAGACTGGATCTGGAATGTCTTAAGCAAACTTGACTTGATTAATTCTATCTCCTTGGAAACTGAGAACCTTTATAAAGCATGCACCATTGAGCGAACAAATTTTACTTTGGAAACCACAATATCTGAAGGTCACATTACCTTGTGGACACCACGAGGCTGGTAGACGCGGCCAAGCGAATAGCCGTTATTATGCACACGTTCTGATTGATTAATTTGATCCCCACTAGAGGGATATTCCATAAAAGCCTGGGAATCGAATGAAAAATAATCAAGCGTGGCATCTGAGGCACTCTGATTAGATTCTGGCACTTGCGTATTCATCTCTAACAGACCATCTCGAGAATCATCATTAACATCCTGAGTACTATAACGGTTGGTCTCAGCAGAGGCAAACCCCAACGCCCTTAAGCTCCCTGCATATACAGAAAGACGACCTAGGCCATGATATATACATCAGATTTCAGCTACCTTGGAAGATCCACACTTTGGAAGAACAACTAGTTTGCAGGCGATATTTTTACCCTAGACATCAACCAATCTAGGACAATGATTGAACACTAATTCTTTGGTTATCAAGAATATCTATGCTTTTAATTCAGAAAGCTCAAGCACTATAAGCACGAAAAAGTTTTCCTTTCCATGTAATGTGATTCATCTCAGTTGATGGAAACGTATCATCTGCTAATTGCACGATACCCTCAACAAGACGTGACAGGCCGTAGGATACATAAACCAAGGAGTGCAATTAACAAGCAAATCATACCTAACACATGAAAAAAATCTCCATCTATCGATGATATGAAAGACATTCCTTTGTGATTGCGAATCCATACAACTTTCGACATCGAGAAATCCTACCATCCTCTTCAATAATGCACATTTCGGTTCGTGGTGCACAAGGGTGTATGCATGAAAAATCATGAAGCACGCATTCGGAAGGCATAAATTAATTCTAACAAATCGTAAAATCCATTCCATTATTCCTAATAATAAAATAATCTAAAATAAAATTATTAAACAATTCCATAGATCCGAGATGCAACAATTCACCAGTTTAAATGAGAAACCATCCTCTCGCCCGCCGTCATTCTCTCACGTGCAAGACGATCAAGGTGACATAAAATTCATAATCCAAAATGAAAAGAAATAGCATGCAACTTCAATTGCATCTCCCGCTCATCGAATTGTGAAACGAAGACGATAATTACAAATATAAATCATAACAGAACATAAGGCATACGCATACGCATCGTCGCATGCCATTTCAAACCATTAACTAAATCAAGAAATAGATGAAGAAAGAAAAAGATCCAAACACAAGCAAGGAATTTCGACCAACATCAGAGAGGAAAAATCGAAACGAGGAGCTTTCCTAAAACACGGCGTACCAGCTGCGCCGACCGAGTAAAGCCTCTTCGTCACCGCAAGCGACAGCTGAGAAGCCATTTCCTTCCTTCCCGAACCTCTTCAACGCTGCTCTTCTTCTTCTTCCTTCTCTTCCTCCTCCTCCTCCTTTACACGCAAATTCCTTGCAGCCTGTTAAACAAACGCTTCCTGGTTCTCCTCGCCGCACATCGCTCGCTCAACCCCGTCGAGCCCGCCGCCGCTGCATCGGCGACCGAGGGACCAGAGCACGATGACGCAGAGCTAATGCAGCCTTGCCTGCCTGCCTTGCCTCCCTTCCTTCCTCGACGATGAGGAGGAGGAGCGCAAGCACGCAAGAGCACAAGCACCGCGGAAGGGCAACGACAACGACGGGGGACCCGGGTTAGCATTTTCACGGGTTCATTTACAATATCGTAGATTCTAGGGTCGTTCACGAGGCACACCGACTGAACTATTAACATGCCTTGGGGGGGGGGGGGTCTTGTGTGGATGTGTGTACTCTAACTTAAAGACTTGTTTGTTTTTGACAAGTATTTGATGTATTCATTCTAGGATGAACTTATTTTTTGTATGTAACAATTAAGTTGATAAATTAGATATTGAAGAAAAATAGGAATATTAAAGAAAGAAGTATATAAAAAAAATAGTGACTTGATTTAGAAAATTAATTTGTATCCTATTTTCGAAGAAATTTATGTAAAATAATGGAAAATATCATATATATACCCCTTGAGTATGCTGAAATATTAAGAATATTCATGTATTCTTGATAATAGCAAATGTATCCTAAAATATGATAAGGTATCATCAATCTAACAAAGGTGCAACAATTTTCATAGATTCCAAATGGAGCCCAAACTGCGTGCCTTTATGATGTTACATGCAATTAGATCTCAACTTACTCTTTTGGCATTTTGCCTTGTAGATTTTGCCTTGTAGATTCTTAGCATTTAAAAATTTCCTTCTTAGAATAACATTTTAGTACATAGATGAAGCATGCCACAATGCTTACATCCTTATAATTACATGCTCTTGGATAGTAAGATTCTATTGGCTCTCCAACCATTGACTTTGTGTTGTTCAAACTGGCATTGGAAAAAGATGGCTTATTGGAAGTAGCCTCAAGATTCAAACAAATGGAGTGGGATTGATTTGCCTTTGTGCAATGCCCATGGTCATATAGAATATGTAGTGTGACCAAAACAACATGTTGACGGTCCTTGTAATGATGTTGGATGTTCATGTGGAAAATAGAATGAGATATTTTACATGGCAACATGCATTTTTACATATCTAATGTTACGAATGGTCTGCCCCCTTAGAGGTAGAGAGGTTGGAATGGAGTAGCAAAGCTTGAGGTGGAATGATAAGCATATAGATATTGGAATTGGATACTGGCAGACCCATGTAGTGTATGATGCATGGCAACTGTAGATGTGATATTTGCATGATAAGGTGGTGGGTGTGGGATGAATTGGTAGAAGGACCAAAGTGTGATATAACAGAACAACAAAGGTTTTGAAGAGCTCTGTTCTTGTCTAAGTGGCGCTAATAGATGGATTGCAAATTTGCTCAATTCTTAAAAGGTGAACATTTATTGTTATACTACACCTAGATTTTAGAGAGCATGCAATTCAAAGAATGTGAGTACTATAGTAAGATAAGCATTACCTCATCTAAGTGGTAAAATACTATTTTAAGAAGAAATATTTTAGATGCTAAGAATTTGCAAGACAAAATACCGAAAAAGTGAACCCAGATCTAATTGCATGTGACATTATAAAGGCATGTGGTTTAGGCTCCATATGAAGACAAAAAAAGTAATAGAATCTATAAGAATTATTGCACCTTTGTCAAATTGGTGATAATTTAATATATTTAAGGATATATTTTCTATTATTAGAAATATTAAGAATATATTTGCTATTAACAAGAATGTAAGAATATTCTTGATATTTTAGCATATTCAAGAGATATATATGGTATATATTTTTAAAATAATTATCAATTTTTTTAATATTAGATGTAGTTTAAGTATATAAATTATGTTTATTTATTTGTAATATCATATTATGTTTATTTATTTGTAATATTTGAAAGAGATTTGAAAGAAACAATGATAAGAGAAAAGAGTGAATTATTTTATTTGTTATATGAAATTTAATAGGGAGAGTATAATGTTTTTTTGTTGCAATATAATTTAACCATTACATAGTTTTAATTTTTGGTTCTCCTTTCAATTTTTTTTTAACAATAATGAAAAAAATACCTCAAATCAAGGTAAGTAGTATAGAGCTTTAAATATTAAATTCACATTGAATATAATAAAAGATATATTTTTAAAGAATTAAAAGAGTATTACTACCAAAAACTTTAAGATTGTACAACTATGTATATGAACTAGTGAATGCCTCATTTATAGAAGAAGCTTAATGTCATATTCATTTTTGTTTTGAAATATAAATATTACTTAAGCTACAGTCAATCTTAATATTTACATAAAAAAATGTAAATACTAACATTGAAGGTAATGTTAAAAGCATTAGAGTAGAGAAAATAAATCAAAATTAAAAATTATATATAACTAGTGTAGATTTTTCTTAGTTTAAATCATCAAATAAGAATCTTAATGTTCATACGTTTAAATTCTTGTACATGATATATATAAATCTAAAATTGAAATTTTCTTGTATGTTATAAATGTTTAGATCAAACATGATCAACATAAAATATATATATATATATATATCTTCAAAAAATACCATTGAAGAAATGGTATGATTGGTTTCAAGTAGAATTCCTCTGAGTCTTGATTAGTGATAAGTAATGTTGGGAAAGTGGTGTCTTTGTCTTACTATGACAATTCCAAAAAGTGCCCACATGACAATCAGGAGGTAGAATGATGAACTATAATTAGTAATACTATTAAGTTTGGTTAAGTTACAGAGCAAATAAGTTTCATTCCAAGATTATGAATTTTACTAAAACTTTGCATATAGTTTTAGACAAGTTATTTATTAATGATTAAAGTAAAAATCTATAAATGGAAAATGGAAAACACCACATGAAAGTATAAGTATTGGATACATGTATGATATGTGCATGATTGGTAACATGTGACGATTACAAAATATATAATAGTAACACTGAAAATAATTATTCATACTTAGGAGATTATTATATTGTATTATATTAATATACTACAAAAATACCAATGATGCATAATCAAATTTCAGCTATTCATATTTATATCCCAACACCAAATCATCCAGACCTAAAGATACGTCAAGAGCTTTTCAAATGCATCATTAAGATTTGGAATGCACATATCCAAATATTAAAAAATACAAGAATACAAATCCATGACTTGATTCAAGATTCACCCCATTATATATATATTAAAAAAAAAAAACACTAAAGCCATTTAAATAACTGAATGTGAATAGTGAAACCACAACCATACCATGACCTTTGCATTGGGTTTATCTCAGTGGCTGCCTGAAAGAAAAGACGAAAAAGAAAAAACAACCCAACAAACATCATGTTGTGAATCCTCCTCCTCTTGGCACTTGCACCACCATGGAAGCCAAGACTTCACCACAATATGAAGCTCTCAGAGGGAGACACAAATGGGACCCACCCAGCAAGGCTTGAAGCATCACACTATATTTCCAACATACTATATTTCAAAAAAAAAGGGGGGGGGGGGGAAGAAAGAAATGAATGTCCTTCCTTTCACAGTCACTGGATTTTTGGTGTGCAAACCACAAACATGTAAAACTAGGTGCGTGGGGTAGCAGATCATGGATATTGAAGGAGCTAGGAGGTGCAAGATTGAAGGATCCGCAAGATAGCTAGCAAGCAATGAATGAAGTGGCCATGATTTGGGGCATGCAGGAAAGAGCAGCCTACCCCTGACAAACACAACATGGGGGCATGGGATGTGCATAATCGGGATCCGTGTTGTGTCCAGCTACGCACCACCGCAAATGCGAACTGCATCGCAATCGCAGGCCACTACCAAAAACCACCATTTTGAAGCACACATCGGAGGCTTGGTGGGGACCTCGAATATCCCCACACAGTATAATCCTAAAATGGAAAATAGAATAAAAAACTGAAGGGCTTTGTGTGCAATAACCCAGTAGCAGCAGGAGAAGCAGCAGAATCCGCGGAGGTCGATGGAGTGATTGCGAGTGCCTTCGAAAGCGCCGAGGCACCGGTGGCGGAGATTTTTTTTATTTTTATTCGATTACTCACCGCTTTTGGCTGAAGCGCAGGAGGTGGGGGAGCTTACCGCCACCACATTTGAGCGTATTCTTAGGGGGGGAGCAAAAGTGATCTTCTTTAAGCCCCAGTTAGCACCTCATCGCGCATGAGCTGTACCCCCTCCAGTCAGACTTTTCTCTTCAACTGTCCAGGCTTTTTCACTATCACCCGGAGTGCAGCGTTGTGTTTGCACATGAAGCTCTGAAATTGGATCTGGAGCTCTCTCGCTCTCTCTGTCCGCGGCCAAGGTCCGTGCTTTCATTAGTTCTCTCTTGCTCCGATGCGGTTCTCGACGGTTTGTTTTTATTTTTATTTATTTTTAGCGTTCTGCGTTTTATTTTTATTTTTATTTTCCTTGTCTTGCTTGGTGACTGGCGTTCCAAGAGTGCATATTTCGTGGAAGGTCAGTGGGTCTGTTTCTCGGAATTGGCGAACTGGGTGTGTGTTCGCTGCACTAGCGAAGAGAAGTGTCCGTGGATGGTGTTTTGGAGTTTTACGAGGCTAGGTGTTGATATTCTTTTTTTTTTGTTCATGGTTGTTTTGTTAGATAGCGTATTTCCAGATCTGCGGAGATTTGGTTTCGGTGGCAGGCAAAAGCGAGAGGATTTCGTGTTTGCTGCTTCGAGAATTTCTCAGCGCTCATAACCCACAATTGCAAGTCTCGTTGTATGCGCATTGGGCTGAGAATCGGTTGAGAATGTTCGGGAAGTGCAACATTTTGAAACACTGACGAAATGTTCCTTCTTGATGTGCGCAGTCCATTGGATATGTGTGTACGCTATTCAGGGTAACACAACACTGAAGGATCTAGGCCTCTGCTATTGAATGCAAGAGTTCAGATCGAATTCACGGTTAGCAATGACGGGTACGATGTACGAGCCCAAGAACATTCTCATTACTGGTGCGGCTGGATTCATCGCCTCCCATGTCGCCAACCGGTTGATTCGGAACTATCCGCAGTACAAGATCGTGGTGCTGGACAAGCTCGACTATTGCTCCAATTTGAAGAACCTATTTCCTTCTAGAGCGTCGAAGAACTTCAAGTTCGTGAAGGGCGATATTGGCAGCGCGGATCTGGTCAACTATCTGTTGATCACGGAGGGCATCGACACCATCATGCACTTCGCGGCGCAGACGCATGTGGACAACTCGTTCGGAAACAGCTTCGAGTTCACGAAGAACAACATCTACGGAACGCACGTCCTGCTGGAGGCGTGCAAGGTGACGGGGCAGATCAAGAGGTTCATCCATGTGAGCACGGATGAGGTGTACGGTGAGACAGAAGCGGAGGCCATCGTTGGCAACCACGAGGCGTCGCAGCTGCTGCCCACGAATCCGTACTCGGCGACAAAAGCCGGGGCGGAGATGTTGGTGATGGCGTATGCGAAGAGCTACGGACTGCCGTGCATCACGACTCGGGGGAACAACGTGTATGGGCCGAATCAGTTTCCGGAGAAGCTGATCCCGAAGTTTATTCTGCTAGCAATGCAAGGAAAGCCACTGCCGATCCACGGCGACGGAACCAACGTGCGGAGCTACTTGTACTGTGAGGATGTGGCGGAGGCGTTCGAGTGCGTGCTGCACAAGGGAGAATTGGGTCACGTGTACAACATCGGGACGCAGAGGGAGAGGCGGGTGATGGATGTGGCGAAGGACATCTGCGAGCTGTTCAACTTGGACTACAAGAAGTCGATCAAGATGGTGGACAATCGTCCTTTCAATGACCAGCGGTACTTCCTAGACGACAAGAAGCTGATCGCGCTCGGGTGGCAGGAGAGGACCAGCTGGGCGGAGGGGCTGCAGAAGACGAAGGATTGGTATACGAGCAACCCAGACTGGTGGGGCGATGTGTCGGGCGCCCTGGTGCCTCACCCGCGGTCAGTGACAATGCCGGGAGTGGAGAAGCTAGCGGAGATGCAGAGGGGAGAGCATTTGGCTCAAACCTCGGGGGACTCGGCGACGCCCGAGAAAGATAATGGACCAGCGCTGTTAAATGGGACGGGTCATGGTTTGTTGGGTGGGATCGTATCGAAGGTCCTTTCTCCGGTGAAGAATGTTAAGGGTGATCCAAGTTTGAAGTTTTTGATATACGGGCGGACTGGGTGGCTGGGTGGATTGCTGGGGAAGATGTGTAAAGAGCGGGGAATCGCTTACGAGTACGGAGCAGGGAGGTTGGAGAACAGGACCTCGTTGGAGGCAGACATAGCCGCAGTCAAGCCGACGCATGTGTTCAATGCCGCTGGAGTGACGGGAAGGCCGAACGTGGACTGGTGCGAGAGCCACAAGCCGGAGACGATCCGGGCGAACGTAGTGGGGACACTGACGCTGGCAGACGTGTGCAAGCAGAATGGGTTGCTGTTGATGAACTACGCGACAGGATGCATATTCGAGTACGACGACAAGCATCCGCTGGGGAGCGGGATTGGTTTCAAGGAGGAAGACAAGCCGAACTTTGCAGGGTCGTACTATTCGAAGACGAAGGCGATGGTGGAGGACTTGTTGTCAGAGTTCGATAACGTGTGCACGTTGCGGGTGCGGATGCCGATATCATCCGACCTCGAGAATCCGCGCAATTTCATTTCAAAGATTGTGCGGTACCAGAAGATCGTGAACATTCCGAACAGCATGACGATACTGGACGAGCTGCTGCCGATATCAATCGAGATGGCGAAGAGGAATTTGACAGGGATCTGGAACTTTACCAATCCGGGGGTGGTGAGCCACAACGAGATCATGGAGATGTACAAGGAGTACATAGACCCATCTCTGACGTGGGTGAACTTCACGCTGGAGGAGCAAGCAAAGGTGATCGTGGCGGCACGGAGCAACAACGAGATGGATGCTTCGAAACTGTCGAAGGAGTTTCCTGAGATGCTGGGGATTAAGGAGTCACTGAAGAAGTTTGTGTTCGAGCCCAACAGAAAGACTCCCGTCATGTAGGCAGTTTTAGCTGGAAACGAGTTTACGATCCTCGTCTCCTGCCTGAAAGTGAGACTAACAGATTTTTCCTAGCATGGTTGTAGTTGCGGGACAGTCATTTATTGCCTTTTGTGGTGTAGCTTGCCACAGTTGCTGTAGATTTCTCTTCAGTTGAGAAGGTAGTGAATCAATGACGGTGTAGTCGCAGGATTTTATTTCTTTTCTTGGTTGTAGGCAATTCTTTTAATAAGGCTTGTATTCCTGTAAAGGATTATTTCGGCAGAAAGTAAGAATTTTGGACATTTTCTGTTTTTTTTTCTTTTTTCTTTTTTTTGCCTGTGCGAGTCTAGAAACTGGACATTTCTAATGTGCTGGTTGGAATTTCCTGCATGTGCTTCGGTTCGAAACGAAAACTTGTGCACCGTGTTCTTTCGTCGTTATTTTGGAATAACATTCCACATGGTAAGTGAAGTGAGATAGAATTGTTTTGATCGAACAATCACAGCCAAGTTTACAACACACATTCAGATCTAGTCTACGGGAGAACATATAGATAGCTTTACTGAAAAGAATTACACAAGATCTAGATCTGTTCCCTCTCTGTCTTCGAGAGATCCCGCTATGCAGCTTCTATGTCTACGTCACACTTCGCACCACGAAAAAACCTAGTATTCTACTGCGAAGAATCAAGCCACGGCATCCACAGACTGCGCTGTTCACACAACCACCGCTCGCTGAAGCTCCTTGAAGAATGCAAGAATCTCATCCTCTCCGTCAGGTTCTGCAAATTTCTACAGGGTCTCAAAAGTCTTCATGATCGATCTCGGAGCGACTGCATTCCTCCTACCTTGTCCATCCGGCTGGTCCTTCGCCCCATTGGCTCGAGCTCCACGAAATCCGTGCCTCGGGGGCGCTGCTCCATCCACACCCCGCAATAAATAGAAGAGTTAATCAAAGGCGTCACCAACTCCCTGTTCTTGATCATTCGCCGCTGCTGCCTCTGCAAACGATAGGTCGCCCGTCAGCGCGTTGATGCGCAGCTCTCCCTTTGCTCCCTAACGCTCAAAGTCAGCAGACTCTGACAGATGGGTTGCATTGTGATTGACAGCGAGTTCAGCATCTGCTACTGCTTCTCGCTCTACACACAATCCATCAAGAGGAAGAACTCCAGGATGAAGTCCTCGTCCTTGGTGTGCACACTCCGTAGCCGGATCGCCACAGTTGACACAAGCCCGTAGTGCTTCAGAAACAGAGACTTTATCTCCGAACCCCACAGCGGCGGTTGAGCCTGCAGTCCATGCCTGAATCTTGCAGATCTAGATCTAGATCCAGAATATATGACACAATACAACAGTAAGTACCCCATGGGAGTTAGATTGATCCTAGCCATTTGCAAGAGTGATGTCATGGAGACGGTAATGTCCATAGTTAAGTCGTATGTTGCGATTGGCACTAAGTCGCATGGTAGTTGACAGTCGCTTTGAGTTTGTTATAACCATGAGAGTATCAATCATGTGGCGTTGCAATCGTGCAGCATAAAGGAATGAATTGTGCTTGTGTTAGGATGCAGTGGGGTGCTCTATTGTTGCACGATTAGGCTAGTTTGTAGACTTGTAGAATGTAGCAGCAGGACACTGCACATGACGTGGAGTTGTATAACGATTGTGATCAATTGAGAGTTTCGTAACATGAATAGTGTGAGCATCGTATGTTGGGAGATAATGGGCGTCATGTGAATAGAATGTGTGCATTGCAGTGGGCGGCAAATTTTAAATTCCTGGGGACTGCGTTTGGTCTTGTGAGCTTGAAGGTAATGGTATTACTGAAATTAGTTACGTTTTTTAGGTAGGAAGTATGTTTTATTTGGTGTGGAGTTAGTTATCGAGTATGACACTGGTTGAGGTGCGTGCCTGTTGCAGATGAGACTGGTTTAGAAGTTAACAAGCTCTTCTTTACATTCTCATCTTAAGTTTTTTTTATTCATATATTTGTTTATATATATATATATATATATATATATATATACATATTATCATTAAAACAGATGAATTCATTCCATTGTACTTTTGGTCTGTGATTTTGAATATGATCAAAATGCAAAATCATTGGCATTGATCTACCATGCATTTTTCTTCAAACTCACAATATGTTGTTAAAAACCAAACAACTTTTTTATTAATTTGATTCCCACTATCATAGACTAAATTGTAAGATTGGGTTGTGAATTTTTTAGAATTATATCTTCATTCAATAATTTTCAAAAAAATAACTTTATAACCCAATAAAGTTTTATTTAAATATAAAAAACTTTGGAAAGAGTTGGTAATAATTGGCTTGATTTTTCTTGTAGAAGCTTTGATTTGAAGAGCAAAATAATCCTCCATATTCTTTCTTCAGTAGAATGATAACTCTCTATCTTCACATTGCAATTAAACCACTATGCTCTTACAAATAAATTAAATAATAGTTTAAAACAATAACAGCAATAACAACAATAACAATCAGTATTGCAACAACTATAATCATGATAAGTACAAGCAAGATCAAGGTTTGAACAAAATTTCAATACTTGAACATAAAATAATATTAACACTATACAACTCTAATTTCTTTTTGAACAAAGATTTTACGTATGTATAAAATATGAACATAAAATCTTAATACTTAAAGGTAAACAGTACGTTTCAGAGTGATGCGCTCCTTCGAAGCATCTTTGAATAAAAAAATTATCATACAATGATGTGTTTTCACAAAAACCCCATCGCTAGACTACTTTGAGTAATGCATAATGGGGCTCCGCAAAAAGAATGTCTGGAAATATGCTTTTGAGAACCTCCAAAATCCAAACTTTCACATCTAAGAAAATCCAGAAAGCAAATCACGAAATGGAAGGATCCAAGGTGGATTAGTAGACAACACATCTGGACATGGAAAAAGTCTGCTGTTTAGTTGAACACCGTAGGAGGTTCACCCAGCTCTTGATACGATGTAAGACTTCTTCCTCCTGACCACCTAGGCTTCTGCAAAATGCACTGAGGCAGAAGTACATACTTGTGACTGTAGCACCATCTCACTATAGAAGCGACATTCGACACATCATAACCACAAAATACTAAAGAAGACTCATGAACATTACATTGTTGGAGGATACCAACAACTAAGAAGATTTTGAGGGTTATGCCAACTTAGATAATGCGGTGGCTTCTGCCAACTGCAACCAATGGACCACTCCAAAATGCCTTCAAGCGTATCAACGTCAGCACAACTTCGAACCTGGATGAATCACAAGCAACTCGCCTGCGTCAAATAGAGCCACTCAATGTCTTGACCAAAAAAAAAAATCTAGGCGTTTAATCCTAAAAAAAACTCTTGTTGGTTCCAAATTTCTTCTCAAGACCACAAACAAACAAGATAAACAGATGCTTAGAGGATCAGATGCATACCATGTCTTCAGCAGTACCCTCAATCTGGAAAATCATGACTCCAAATCCTTTCACTTTATTTGTTTCAGCCTGCAAGCAATCGACAGCACATCACTATTGAGCGAGAAAAATCGCAGAACTAGGGAAGCCTTAGTGAAACACAGCTGGGGTAGCTGAAAAAAACACCCCTTGATTTTCACACTCAAGAAACGGATTACTAGTAGAAGAGTCGACGGAGAGAATTCTTACAGAACATGCCCTTATTCGAATGCCTGCTGCAACTAGGACCGCCGTGACTTCTGCAAGCATACCTGTAATCCCATACTTCAGAGGTCAAACCAACATCGATACCTACAACACTTAGCATTCCTCATCAAGTTGCCCTTAAATTTTACCAAATAAAATATAAATCAATATTCAACTAGGAATGCTATTATCGAGATGACGCTTATAGGTGTACAAATCCAGATATCTTCATCAATAAAGCTTGCAAAGCGAGGTGAAAGATTTTACTGTTTCGGTCATGACAGCAAACGCTGAACCATTGAATAGAGCCACCCTCAGAACTATGCCATGAAGCTATCTTTTCATTCTGCCAGACTTCAATGTCAGCTCTGGCTTCGTCCGGTACATGGCGAACTTTGGACTTTGCAAGGCCGTTTTCTCCCATCTTTGACACCAGATGTCCTCTCGCCTCCAAAGCTGCCCCAATCACAGTCCCATTCGCTGCTCCCTTCAATGCTCCATTCGCTGCCCCGTTCACTAATCTACTCGCTGTAATATTTATTGCTCCATTTGCTGCCCTCTTTGAGTAACCATTCGCGGATCCATTCGAAGATCCATTTGCTGACCCATTTGCTGATCCATTTGCTGATCCATTTGCTGACCCATTTGCTGACCCATTGGTTTTTGGCTTAAAACTAAACTCATCAGACTGGTGGGAAATGTGACTAAAAGGGTCATAATCACCATTGAAGTAATTACCGATGGTTTCAGGAACGGCTGCACATTCGTCTGAGGACGAGTAAGGGTCGTTTTCACACTGACCGTCATTCAGGTCCTTAACAAATTCATTGACAGTGTCTGCTGTTATCTCTTCAGCAGATAGTGCCGCTTGCTCCTTCAGAAACTGCACAACACCGTGAAGTAAGAATGATGAAGGGTCCCTACAAAAGAAGTCACTTAGTCAAACGAGTTACTGGGACCTAAATAGCTTACCTTGGTAAGCTTGTGTCGGGCACTTCGGGTCTTGGCATATTGCAACCATTGACTGTGCAGCTGGAATACTCTCTTGGCAGAAATACTCTGCACATGATATGGAAGGTTCTGTCAAGGGAACCCCAGCACTTAGATACAGAAACATTTATATACTTCTGGCATAAAAGGTGCATGCTAGGGATACAATTGAACATGAACAAAGAATATGCTTGTCTGCAAAACAGACTTAAAAAGCATTGACGAAGATAACATTGCAAGTGTGTAAGAAAAACAATAAAGCAAGAAGGCTCTTACATCGTAAGTTAGTATCTCCACAACTTCAGCATTCGCAAGTGCATGTGTTGGTGAAACCAAATTACCGTTCACCTGCCACAAATTTCTCATTGAGTTGCTTATCGATCACATTAGGTACCGACACACTTCTTGCAGCTCCAAAATGCTTTCATCTGGCAAAGTATGGCAGGCATGCAAAGAAAGGTACAACGGTGAATCAATTGGTGCTTGTTTAACCTTTGCAGCTACCATCTTGTTCCCGACATCTGTATGAATCTGATACGCATAATCTATAACAGTTGCCCCCTTTGGCAGGTTTTTCACCTGAACAACATTTGTAGCACGCAGATGAATGAAATTATCAAGGGCAAATGTCAGAAAAGTTAGCTGTAAAAGAAAATGGCTATATTTATATAGATACTTGAATGAAAATCGAGGAATGAAAAGAATCATTACCTCTCCTTTCGGAGTGAATACAAAGACTCGACTCGAAAGCAGGTCACCAGTCACGGTATCAACAAACTCTCTGGATGACATATTTCCAACGAACTCCTCCTGCCAATCTCGGATAGACTTGAGCCAGCTTACCTGCACGATGGTACGAAAGAGGTATTTTGATGAATGCAGTAAAAAATCGCAGGCATAAATTAATTGGCAACGCGAGGAAAGAGGCTCATCACATCTTGGCTCTACTTACTCTCCTAGCAATATCCGCGTCGTTCAAGTAGCTGCTTGAGCCTAAAGAGTTTGAAGCAGGATATATAGCACGAGCAGCATCTTCTTCATTGCGTGCGAAGGGTACCATCGCATCAGAGTTGCGCTCAGCCATCCACCTCCCGCTGTAGTAAGCTGCAATTCCGCACTCTGCAAGTCTGTCCATCTCATCTGTTCGGATCTGCACACGACCAACTCGTACTAACAAAATGAGTCTAAACTTTTAAAAATACCACGAATCATTCACCAAAACTCACTTTGGCATGTGAAATACTGATTTTCGTATTACCTGAATTTCCAGAGGAAAGTAAGTCTGTGTGCCGAATGGAATGACTGTGGTATGCAGACTTTGATAGCCGTTCGGCTTTGGAGTAGCAATATAATCCTTCATCTGTGAAGAGAGCGGGTTCAACCCATCAATGGAGTCAGAAGAATAGGGCAAAAACACAAGTTGCAAACCAATTAAGAGACCAAAAGGCCATATGCACCTAGTATACAATACGATACTGTGATGAGGTAAGAAGCTGCGCACCGATTGAGGAAGAGGAGGCCACATAGCATGCACCAACCCCAACACATGATAGCAAACCTGCAAAACATACAGCAAGTCAATTATGCACATCCCTGAAATGGCCACAAGAGAGAGCACCTTGGAACGACATGATTACTTTACCTGTTGTACATTGCAGAGGTGGCCGACAGATGCGCTTGGTTTTAACTTCAAAACCAGTCTCATCTGCAACAGGCACCCACATCAACCAGTGTTATACTCGCAAACAAACTCCACACCAAATAAAACATACTTCCTACCTCAACAACTTAACTATTTTCGGTAATACAATTACCTTCAAGCTCACAAGACCAAACGCAGTCCACAGGAATTTTAAACTTACCTGTGCGATATCTCGAATGTCCTCTGCTCCAATATTTTGATCCATCTTCTTGTAAATACTGCCCCGACAAGAAAACAATATTTCATGAGATGAGCCTTGAAATCCAAAGTAAGTCCTACTATGAAACATCATCTCCGACTGGAAGAGGGTTGATGAAACTCGACACCAGATAAAGCAGGAACGAATTAACCACGAGAATCACACAGCCCGGTACATGCTACCTGAACACAAATCTACCGAATGAACAGCATTCTAAGTCTCTTGGTGGACGTAGGCAAATTTGATTGCATGTAGCTATTGCTAAGAAAGGCAATATAAGTGGAAATAGATGAAACTAACCCTTGCATATCAGTGAGCAACCAGTCATCTAGATAGAACATACCATATGTTCTAATGATAAATCGCAATTCAGATGCTAGAAATATGGATTTCGGTACAAATCAAAACAAAGCATTGGAAAATGCACAAGTACCTATATAGCTCCTTGGACAGAGTAGCAACTTTTATGTCAGCAGTCATATAGCCCAAAAATTGATCCCTTGAGATTGTTTCGTGTAGAACCTTTTTGGCCTGTTCGTCAGCATAATCCAAGCAAAATGTTAGATCAAAGCTCACGCAGCCTGTATTGCTAGTTTGTGTAGTACAAAATGAAGGCCGATTACCTCTAAAACCACGTCCTCTTGCTGCTTGCGAAGTGATTCCACCCGCTGCTTGATCTCAGCATGCTCCTCTGGATATGCGTACATGAACGACAGTTCCTCCAATTCTGACTGCGAATTTCAAATATGCTCATGAGAATCCTATTAACCAGAGTGAAAGGATACCTTGTAATGGACCATCCCGCAACAATTACATTGCAGCAAGATCAGCATAAATCATCAAAAATATTGGCCAGATAAAGGATCCAACACCTTGATCCTGTACATTCCCAGTAACCTAGCCAAAGGCGCAAAAACTTGTAGCGTCTCCGTGGCAATATATTTCTGCAAACAAGTTTGATGCTTAGTTTTATACCAGCGTTAACAGCAAAGTAAGAATAGTCTTAAATTTACCATAGGGAATATAATGCAGAGTTATTCAATTAACCTGTTTATGAGGGGGCATGTGGGACAAGGTCCTCATGTTATGAAGCCGATCTGCAAGCTTCACAATGATCACCCGTACCTGCCATGTGCAACAATTAGTTGAGCAAACCCTACAAGACAATCGTGGAAAAGAAGATCCAGGAACAACGTTGCAATTGTGAAGTGTTCACTTAGCATCAGAAAAACATTCGCATTTGGTATCCAGACACCCGGCAGAAGCGGACAAGGGCCAAACATACCTCCTCAGTCATAGCTAAAAACATTTGTCTCAGATCATCAGCTTTCACATCCCTTGAGAGCGTTGACATCCCGTCTGAATTCTGACATTGCATCTTTCCAAGTTTCGACACCTGCATGCCGGGTGCAGGCTTGGTTAGGAACTGCTTTAGTGAAAAAGAAACCCAAACAGAAACCCGTTGTCGCTTATGGAATAACTTGCCTTTGTTTCTCCTTCTACGATTCTCCGTACTACAGGCCCAAACTGGTCCTCAATCCTCTCAAAAGTAACATGTTCTGTATCTTCAACTGTGTCATGCAGCAGACCTGCTACAACAGTCTCCCAATCCATCTCCTGAACATAACCAGTCAAATTACTGTGACTAACTAATTCCAGAAAAGAATACCACAACAATTCTTTCTCAAACCTCATTCATAACATAACATGCTTGCTCACGCCAACAAAGGAATTTTTTTGCAAATAAGACAGCTCAACAAGACGATACAATGTACAGTACCAGTTCTCCTAAAATGCGAGCAACTTCAACAGGATGAATGATGTAAGGTTCTCCACTCTTGCGCTTTTGACCGTCATGGGCCTCAAATGCCAACTGCACCAGTCAAATCAACTCAATGGCCTGTCAACCAGAACAGGGCAAATGAACTGCAGAAGCTCTCTTCTGGAAATTCAGAGATTTTCATCAACCCTTGTCGCTTGCAGCAATGACTAGCACTTACCCAAAGAAAAATACAAATTCAAGTTTCTACAGATAATCGAGAGGCTGTACTTGAACAAGGAGTCGTACGCCTAAGATTCAAAAGTTGCATAAAACTGATGAAATTATAATCGAGTAAACTGACCTTCAATCCATCCTTCACCATTCTTGATTGAGCTTTTGTAAGATAGCTAATAGCAGGTTTTAAGCTCTGCAAGAAATATTACGTGTTAGAGGAAGTACTCACTAATGAAAAAGAGACCACAAATTTCCAACATCCGACTGTTGCAACAAACGATGCGCGCCTGTGAGATTCCAATCGGACTACCAGTTCAATGTTTGATTGTGGCCAGACACTGTGTTCTCAACCATCATAAGAATAGGGAATTTTGATGTTAGACTACCTCCCATAACTCGCTTGGGGTAGTATTGTAGCTGGATAAATGCAAATCGTCAGAGCCAGCACAACAGATGACTTCTCGTATCCTTCCGGACCTCCCCGGTTGTTGTACATAATTCTTAATCGAATGGTCTCTTCCTCCATTCAGTAAACACTGAATCACCCCAATTATTCATTATAATGATACCAGATAGGAGATGAAGCTCGTTAAGGGTTCATCAACAAAAGCCAAGCTGATTACAAATGGAGATTCAGGCATACAACTGTATGACTCTGCAATCCACGAGACGGTAGTACACTCCAACTCTTTACCACTAAATCTATAAAAATCAAAAACTCGTCGCTATTTAACCACGTCCGCACACAAAAGCTTAAAAATAAATAAACAAAAAAGGAATTAAGCTGTAGAAGCACAGTCCGACTATTTGAATCTAACATTCTATCCAAATCCATTACATGCTAGTCGAATCACCATTAGAACGACTTCGTCAGAAAAGAACTGCCTAGCACCTCCAAGATAAATTATGACCCATTCCCGACAGTAAGCCAGTTTCAAAATTCAGAATTGCTCGAATTTGCCATTGAATACCGAGCCTACAGCACCTGCTCTCCTCATAGACTAGCAAAAAGGCACTTGTATTTGACAAAGAACTTAAAATAATGCTTCTAGACTTACAGGGCAGCGATGCGCCGAAACTTTGTTGCGCAATTTGGACCATGAGGCACATTCCCCTTGAGAAGACTGCGGTGTGCTTGCTAGGAAGCCACTGAACACCCTCGGAGATCTCCATGCACAGTTGCTAGATGTGCACTCAGGTCTCCAAATGAGTGGCTGGATAAAGTTGCGCACACTAATTTCTGAAAACCAATCGAATATATTTATTCAGCGATTTTATCAAATTCACTCAAATGGGCGAGTTCGACAGATAAAGAAGAACGGAAGGTATCCGAGAAAGAGAAGGGACCTGGAAAACCGACAGGGGTCGTCATTTCGTCTGCAGCACGAGAGCACAAAAATGGGCACAGGCGATTCTTTTACACAGGATCATGCCCGCCCTGAGATTGTAAACACCCTGCGATTCCTCTGCAATTCCTTCTATTGCCCAACAATCTCACTAACACTCGATTCACAGGCAACCCTGCTCTAGTTGATCCTCACCCAACACCAACAAACAGAAACAAAGTCGCTTCACTAAATCCCAGCATCTTAACCCTACACTAAGGAATTCGGAATCTCCACTGCAGAAACAAAACACTCCGAGCTCATCATTCTCCTTCGCCCCCTACAAACCATCAACATCAAAACTCCTCGGAAACTTCGAAAACTCCTCCAACTACAAAATATATATATATATATATATATATATATATATATCCCAAACCCAATCCTGCGTGCGAAAACCAAAAACTGCACAAAAAGATGAGTCCTCTTCTCGCGCGAGCGTTTCGCCACCACGGCAATCAATCCAGACGAACAATTGAGTCGATCATAAAAGATCTCTCTCTCTCTCTCTCTCTCTCTCTCTCTCTGTCGCGCTGCGAAGCGTATCCCCTGTTGCTTTCCAAACCGAGGTGCCCAATTCGAGAATTCGCACAGAAAGTGTGAACTCGACAGTGGCAAGGCTTGTAATCGCAATGTGCTGTGCGCACAGCGCTAACCAATTGCTGCACGAGTGGGCAGAAGAATTTGTGTGGTGCTTCCTCCGTCACAGAAAAAAGTGATCTAAGCCCACCCACTCTCTCTCTCATGCGTTGCGATTGTGAAGGAGGGACCACGAGCCAACTGCGCGCGTAACCTCGTTGCCCTCTCGGTTCCCATTTGGCCGTCGAGCGTTCTGCACGTCAGACCGTGCGCCCAATGGCGCTCAGGCCTGCCCCTCATCATCCTCTCGTCTTTCCCTTGAGCCTTAATTTCTTTGTTTCGTTTTTCCTGTTCACTTTAAGTTCTATCCCAAGATGAGAATACTGGGTCATCAGCTCATATGTTTCTTTTTCCTTCTTGTGTTATATATATATATATATATATAAAGAATTGTTAAATAGACCCTAGCATTTACTAAATTGATCCATCCATCCTAACCATCATCAAAAAATTCTTCACTATTGGATCCACAGTGGTCAAAAATTAGTGAAAAACTTGTTGGATCCTCCACCAATGTGGATAGGTGGGTCGATATAGTAAATTTCTGAGTCAATTTCACATTTTCCTATATATATATATAATTTTTTTTCTTGATATGACATAAATGAAGAAGAAAATCTGTCTCATTCAACAAACAAAATAAATAAATAGAATAAAAATGATGGTTACAATGTTGTATTTTTTTTTTTTTTCAAAAGGTAGATAAATTTTTGAAGAGTAAGAAGAATGTCAAACTAAGAGTTGTCAGACTGCATCTTAAAATTTTCCTAGCAAGTGGACTGTGATACATAAAACAGAAATTTTAAACTCTATCCACATGAAAGTCTCTGTTTTGTTGGCCAAATAAAATAAGGTGGCTTTGGTAGTGCCTTTGTATAAGGTCCAATATTCTCATGATATTGTTGCTAGTTTTTTTGTCTCTACCATTTTAACAGTATAATTTATTATTTTTACATAATACCACAACCATTTGCTTCAAGATGATAGAATATATATATATTTTAAAACGTTGGATAAAAATAGTACTCTAAATTCTTCTATATATTTTTATTTTTATTTTTTTCATGAATGGAATCTTTAGGCAACAAAAATAAAGCAATAATGCTGCTATATATATATCATAATAATAATACTAAGCATAAGTAACATGTTTTCCATCTTGATAAAGAATTGTTTTAGTTCACCATTAGTATTCCAAGGGTGGCAGTGGATGACAAAACAAGGTCATGTGATTCTTTTGGACGGCAAATGGTGAATTGGTGAGACAGTCATGTGTGGTCTATCAGAGAATGAAGTAGTGTTGATATAAAGTCTACACTATGTACAAAATTCTAAACTTATTCTAAAATAAGTTAGACAACCATAATAGAAAGTTTAAATCATTGGGCCTTGAATGCAATATGTTACAAATAGAGTGTCAGTTATGTCTGGACTTTGTTTGTTAACGGCATATATATAAAGGTAAAACAATACAATTGTCATGATTTAGGCATAATAATAGATAGTGTCATAAGGTATAAAAAATTGTATTAATAAGACTACTATTACAAATAAAATAAAATAAAATAAAATAACTCATAGTTGAATGGTATTTCACAGTGCAAAAAAATCGACAAGCTACAAATTAAATAGTAATGCTTCCAAAAAATCAAAAAAATTGAAGATCTGTACCTATTTCTGTTAGTTGTAAATTTGGAACTTATTGTCCAATGCTATTATACTCAAAGGGACTCTTATAAATGCTATTAAAATGTCCCGAGAAAATAAAAAAATATATATATTTAACATCTATAATTGACTTCGCTATCTTTACCATCTATTTTTAGCTTAACTGTATTTTTTATGTGTACATGCAATATTTTGTGAGCTTCTTGAAGCTCTTATAATTTTAAACCTTAAAGGGTAAATCAATCATTGATTTGTGGAAATTAATGAATTTAAAAGAATTTAGCAAAATATATTTATGAAATTCATGAAAGGAAATTTAATCTGACTTCTAGTTTATCAGGCATTGCAAACCAGGTTTCTTGATTAATGAAATTTAATTATTTTACAGATAATTTGTCACTACATCTAAATATATTTACATTGATATTATGTCACTATAATGTCAAAAGTTCAATTTTTATTGGACAATATTCTTGTTTATATTATCCACATAAAGCATTGAAAAAAACTCAATAGTAATATTATGTTTTCTAAAGTATACCAAACATGAATATACTTACAAAAATATCTAAGACTCAATAAGTATTTAGTTTGGTGATTGATTTTCTTTTTGATATGTGTGTATATATAGTGGAAATCCATGCCATTGGCTACAAAAATGCTATAAAGGTTTAATTTATAGTTGCTAAGTCAAAAATTGACCACTCTTAAAGAAACATTGACTACAAGAATATATATATATATATATATATAATCATTTAGATTTCTTCATTGTAATTGACAAGTATAATTTTTATTTACTATAAAAAATTAAATAGCTAAATTAATTATAAAATTTAAAATTAATTAACATTTATAGTGGTATTTTTATCATCATTATTTTTAGGATATATGATTTAAATCATATTTAAAAGAAAGTATTGTAAAAGTCAACATACAATTATTTATATGCAAATATGAGGGTTCTAAAGTATATTCTTGTATTCTTCAATAATTGTCCTTGAAATTTATTAATAGCTATTGTAAATCCTACATCTATTACACAATGCCTTTGCTACAACTTAAAAAGAATCTTAGTAGATTATGGACATAATGTGATCCTTGGAAGAAAAGCCAACTATCCCTTGTAATCTCTAAATAATAATCTTGCCTCTACAATTTAATAAATCAATTATATTATTGTATTATGTGAAGTTTGCTTGAGAATGCACTAGACACCTGGTTGTAGAAGGAAAAATAGAACTTGCAATAAGATGATCCTAAAAATTCTAATAGAATCCTAAATAAACATAAATCAAATTATAATAATGCTAATCAGTCTTTAATTAAATCCAAAAGAAGTCTCAAGTACTTACAAAAAAAATATGAAGAAATTATAAATCAATCTTAATAAAAATATATATAATAAAAAAAATCTTTGAAAAATATCAAAAATATAAACCATATCAAATACTTAATAATATAAATACTAAATAAATCCTAATATAATCTTTAATATAATCAAAATATCAATATACTTAAAAATATAAATACTAAATAAATCCTTAAAAAATCTTAAGCAAATCTTAAACCCTAATTCTAGACAAATCTTAATGAAATCCTAAATCCTAAATAACTCCAGGAAAATTCCAAGTAAATTTCAATCAATTATTATAACTATTTGAAACTTCAATAAATATTAATTGAACCATAAATCTTGACTAAAATTTCATCTAGACTTCAATCAACAAATAATTAATAAGAACACGAAATTTAAAAAGAATTAGACTTACCATTTGTAAGAAAAGCTTTCAAAACCTTAGTTATTGGCTGCCTTCCTTCTCTGACTTGAATGTTGATCTTTCAATATCAATTTTTCTTTACTGAATTATTCAATTACTTCAAAAATTAGAATTATGTGTAGATATTTAAGTCTTAATTGTTTTTACTAAATTTTGCATCAATCCAATTAGCAAATATTATCAAATCTCAAAATTATTCACTAACCTTAAATCTCAAATGTTTAAGATTATAATCCACAAAAACCCCCATGTGCTTCAATCTAATTGCTTCATTGACTTAAATTTTTTTACATACATTCATATCAAGCACAATAACAAACTACCTAATTTTCACTTATATATATGCTACAAAATTTACAAAATCTTAAAATTTATAAACCTATTTTTATTTTTCAAAATCTAAACCCACTAAATACATCATTAACTTTTAAAATCTCTTAAAATCTCAATATTAATTCAAATAACATAAAATTGATACTTAAAAGTTTTTCTCAAGTCGGCTATCAAATCCTACTCTTTAATTTCCAAAAGAACCTTGGAGTTATTGTAGGTGCTTAATTTTGTCATGTTTTCTTGTTTCTTCTTTCTATTATGTATGTACAATTGCTTCATCTTGTGCCATTCACCTTTATTATGCATTTTCTTGAAGTTTCTTAGATTGAGCTATTTCTTTACTAAGACTATCATTTTTATTAACTATAATACCATGTCCTTCTATCTCTTGTTCAATTAGTTTTTTATATTCTTTAATATGTTCATGTGCTCTTTGTCTTAGTTGTCTAATTGTATAACAATTACATATAGGTGCTACATTATTCAAGTCATTTTTTAATCTATCTAAGGCATCTAATCATCTTCTTTCTTACTCTTTATTTGCTTAAACTAGTTGCTTAGGATGTTCAAGTACTCTTTGTTTTTGTTATACAATAGCTGATCAATTGACATATTAATGTCGTATATTTTTGCTTGAGAATGCACCAAGCACCTAATTGTAGAAGATAAGTAGAAATGCAACAAAAAACTCCTATCAATCTAATAAAGTCTTAAATAAAATCTAAATAATTCTTAACAATCCTAATCAAACTTTAAACAATCCAAAAGAAATTTAAAAGAAGTTACAAAAGAAACATAAAGAAGTAATAAATTAATTTCAAAGAAAAATAACAAAAATCCTAAAAAAAAAAATTTTAATTTTAAAAAAAATCTAAAGAAATAACAAGAGCATTAAAGAAATACTAAAAATAAAAAATAAAAATAATTATTTTAAAATATTAAAAATAAAAACTTAAGTAAATCCTAAATAAATCCTAAATAAATCTTAGAAAAATATTAATCAAATCCTAATTAAATTTTAATTAAATTTTAAATAAATCCTAGGTAAATCTTAATCAAATCCTAATTAAATTCTAATCAAACTCTATTCAAATTCTAAATCTTAGACCAATTCTAATAAAACTTTAATCATCTCTAATCAAATTTTAATCAAATCTTAATCAAATTCTTAATCAATCCTAAATAAGTTCTATTACTCTACCTCAAAGTCTAATTATGACCTTGGTTCACAATTGGTCCTATCTAGATATCAATTCTTCATATTTTTAGGATAATTTTTGTTGAAATATATTTTTAATCTTCTCCTAAACATGTCTATATCAATTACTTATCTTATTTATTTTGATTTGGCTCATTTATGGTTCTATAAAATAAATAGAATCTCTTCTATAAAAAGATAGCATTAAGACTAAGTTTTTTATTACATTCCTATTTTTTATCCTTATTTTTTAATTATATCTTTTTAATAGGATTTTCTATAATGACATCCATATTTATATTTTTCACCATATAGTTGTGTTATCACACAATACTGGCTATTAAGAGAGCAAAAAATTCACTTTTTGATAATAAATTTTGATAATAATAATATCTTATGATAATAATATATATTGATAATGATAGTAATACCTTCATTGTTGCAATTTTTTTTTAAAAGTCACACAATAACAAATATATAAATTATATCTTTAAATCACTACTATTTATATTCATATTTATGTTTGCTTATAAAATATTTTCATGATTTCTTTAATTTAAATCTTACTAAAAAAATAAACCATCTTCATAGAAAAATAATTTTTGAAGGACTTTTGATTATAAATAAGAATGAAAAATATAAGAAAACATGTCTCAATATTATTTATGAAAAAATACTAATTTATAAAAAATATATTAGATATTTCATATACTTGCTTAAGATAGATATGATTACATAATATTTTTTATTACTTTGTATGATTTTTTAATTGAATACTATATAATTTTACTATAAAATGCCTAATTGACCAATATTGATTCCATAAAAATAGTATTCAATACCAAAATGAATGGCCTATATTCTATATTTTAACTAAATACTATACATGCACTTATTTATTTACTTATATTCCATATTTCAATTATATATTACGTATACACTTATCTACAACTTCTATCTTTAATTATTAAACTTAAACTACAATCTTAAATAAATTAGATAAATATTTTATTTTATCTATTTTTATTTTTATTTTTATTTTTAATTACAATAAAAATTTTCATAATATTTTATATTATTTTTATATATTATGCTACTCTTTAGTACAACAACAAACCATAGAGATGTGCTTGTCATGTTTGGTCTTCTTAATAAATGGCCTCTTAGCAATACCTTGTTTTGTAACTTGGTGATTCTTGTAAGTCCAAACTTTCACAAAAATTATGTTATGCATTTAAAAAACATACCTTAAAAATAACATCATCAAAAAAAAGAACTTTCAAATTTAAGTTTTTTGTTGATTCTTCTAAAAACTTCTAGTACCATTTTTAGGATCACCACATATGACATTAAAAGCTAGAATTAAATGAATTTGCAATAAATCATTTAATGTGGTTTGATTATGCAAGAAGATTTTGTAAAAAATTAGTTCCAAAGTGTACCAAAACAACCTTATAAGGAAAAACAAAAAACTTTGAAAAGTTATTATTGGCAGCATGGCTCTTTGAATTGAATAGAAGCACAGACAAAAATAAAAGATTGGCAAAGTTTGCTATTAGCAAGAGCAAAAAATAAAGAAAAGAAAACAAGTGCACAAAATTATATAACAACCACTACTAAGAATCTCTTGTTTCTATTGCAAGCTATGTCTATTTTCTATTTTGTAATATAAAATAATTTAGAATAATTTTAGAATAAAACAAAAATATATCTATATAATAAAATACCTTCAAAATTAATTAATTAAAAAAAAACAAATAGTGTCTTTGCATTTTCTTCTTTCTTTGTGCCATAGTGTCTTCAAACTTCAATATTATCAAACCAAAAAATCCCTAGCTTGTCCTACTTCCTACTACTAAACCATTGCCTCTCATTTATTTTTAAACAATAGTTTTGGAATAATCACTACTCTTATAAATCCCTTTATAATTTTAGTAACATGTACTACTACAAAACTTATCTTTAAAATAAAAGCTATCAAGCAACATACAAAACCACTTGCAAAATCTAAATCTTAGAATGCAAAAGACTCAAGGGAGGAGACTCTAATGAAGGGGACTCCATGGGCACCAGCTCTAAAACCAATGCCATTACTAATTTGTCGAACACAGATGCTTCCTTTCGTCTGCTCTTCCCTGCAATCGTGTGTTCTGTCACGTAGGATGCACGGTACTGTTCTTGTGAATGTTAAGATGCATGGAGAGAAGCTGCTCAACATATTCCACAATTAGAAACTTTGAGGACATGATGATCACTGTTAATCACCACACCATTTCCTTGTACGTCTGCTGGCATACCGCTTGATAGTCGCTGTGACTGCGTTGGAAGATTACCCTGAAGTAGTAAGACTCTGATGCTGAATAGTCCAAGTGATGTGTAACGTACGTACTGTCATGATTGTACAAAATCGTCTATTATGAACAACTGAAGATCTATAACAGGTGTATTTGTATGCAATAATATTTACTTTACGTACAATTTATCACTGATGCGTTTCAAAATGTACGGAGGAGGATATTGTTATGCTGCAGGACGGACTATGTTTCGTTTTGCAATCACAACTTGCTCTTTCCAAGTGGCGTATTACTGTACATATGGAATTTTCCCCTTTCAAACGTAAAATTAACAAGGTGCTTGAAAATTTGAAGAACTGGGAAATTTGAAGAGTTTTCCTAGCGTCAGTTGACCCAACTGCAAACGGGAGAACGTCAGTTAAGTTGCAAACTGAACTTTCCTTAAAGTTCTGCAAGTGTCCAAGTGTTGAAGATCCAATACCCATTTTTACAAGCTGAGAACAGAATACTCACACCAACTATACTACATGTTTAAAAATTACAACATGACCAATGGAAAGTCCTACGCAGTAAACTCAAGAGATACATCAGTTCCTTCCCTAGCTAAGCAATGCCATGCAATCACTCCAGTTAGCTTAGCCAAAATAACCTCCAGGGCTAACCCTGCCTCTAAGAGAAGGAACTGGTCAAAGCGACTACTGACCATCTAAAATCCCGATCAACTGTTCCACTCAACTTGCATGTAGCCTCTGACTGAGGCGAGCTTGTGATTGCACAAGCATGCTCTGCGGCAGTGCGACCCTTCCCTTGTCTCCGGATGCCTACAATGCCAAGCCAGACAGAACCAGGTGACTAATTAGCAATACTGCGGCAATAACCATACTTCAGCTTTAACAATCTCCAATTGGTGCGCATTATAATAGAAAGAAAAATGCTAGTTTGTAGACAAGCTTGTCGCACATTTCATGTTGCATCAGGAAAAACACTGACCAAAACTGAAGAAAATGTGATCAAAGAGAATAGTGGGTCAGGTGAAAGGGAACGCAGGTAAAAACAGCCATACCCTTGCAAGAAGTTCTTGATAGACATTTTCTAAGCATCGCTTCAAGTCCGCATATGAAGCAATGAGCATTGATCGCTCATCACGACTCAATAAAATTAGCTTTTCGGGGACTCCAGCATCCAACTGTCCATGTCGAGAACAACAATATGGTCATAATTCCACAGAAATTGTGAACCAGGTTCAAGGTTCCGGAATACAGATACAAGGCTGTGACTTTTAACAAAATATACTACAAAATATACACCTAAAGACGACCTAGTAAGATATATAATTCGATGAAATGTCAGCGCCCAAATATAAATTAATTAGAATTATTTGCATGGATCCTGTCCACCTGTCAAGCGTCACTGATGTTGGAGGCTGACAAAATCATACAAGTACAAGCACAATGACGAAAGACTAGCAGACGATAAGATAGACTTTGCATGACAGATGTCTTAATGATATGATCGAAAGTGGTTGATGAGAGTATACCTTGTTAAGACATTCAATAACATGACCCCAGTCAATAACAGGAGTTCCTTCTTCTGATGTCTGCAACCAAATGAAAGCGAATAATTGATTAGTATAGTCACCATGAATATCAAGGTAACCAGCAATAGTTTCATAAAAACAACTGGTCGTTAGTCTTTACCATTCGTGTGAAAATAGTGGTCTTTCGACATAGATGTCCCCGAAAGTGAAGGACAAACCTTGACATGGGGTTTCTTTTTTCTCTTTATTATCTGAGCAAGGATCATTTTCTACCATAAGACACATACCTGGTGAAAGACGAAATCCCTAAACAACTTGAGCAAGTAGCGATCACCATTTTCTGACCACCCTGGATCCATGTCCGTCTCAGGCCTTTCATTCATCATTCCCAATTTCACGAGGATGCGTAAAAGACGTCCGTTCTCAGCCTCTTTGCTCAACTCGGTCATGATTTCGTCGTTCTGCATATGAACATTCTCGATCTGCAGAGATTGAAAAATCGAGTGAACAGTCTAATTTTGGCTTCCACCAATATTTCTGCATACAATGTCTTGTCTTAAACATTTGCCAAGAAAACCTTCATGCTCGCCATGTACCACTTACTGGGTTCATTAAGAACTGGAATCCGAGTAACCACATATTAATTCAAAACTGTTCCATACCTCCACAAATAAAGTTTAACGTGGATCGCATCGTAATCATGAAGCATTATAGAAAACTCAATACAGCTATACAGATCTAAGTATAGAGAGAACAGAGCCAAAGTCCAGGGAAAACTGGACTGTAATCACAACAATAATCAGCTTAACAAATAAGCAGAAACATATAAACAATCTGATACCTCGCTGAACATTCGATCTGCTAAAAAAGAGTGCAATTGTCGTATGTTGCTGAAACCCACTCCCTCAGACTTCTCAGGAGATGAGGCCAACAAATGCTGAGTAACTCGGACTATCTCGTTTGAATAATGAGATCCCATAAACTCCAGTGATGCATTTGCAGTAGATCCACATGCAAGTGCAAGTACCAGACGTCCACATCCTGCCAAGTCCTCTTTCTGCAATGTTCAAAAGCAGACAAGCTTAAGGAACGTGAAAGAAAGCGTAAATCTGCAACAGCTTTTATGAAAACTCACAGTTGCAGTTCGTCTGTGCACCTCCCCGACAACAAGTACATTTCCCGTACTGAAGCTCGTAGACCTATAGGTGCTTTCCTACGTTTAGAAATCGTGCAAGTCCCATCATTATGAATTATACCTGAAACACCCGAACTTCATCTGCTGGGTCACCATGTAGGACGTCAAGGATGCCAACACTAGATACTCGTATCCGACCTTTGCTTGTCACAATAATTTTAGATGGATGCAGCCCGCCTGGACGGAAATACAGCCCAGCACCATGGACAGCTCGAAGAACAGTGGCCAATTGCACCATATAACTCCAAAGTTGTTCCTCACTAACCTGCAAACACGCCCCTGAGCAGTATTTAGATGAAGACCAGAATATATAAGTTAGACGGGCAAGGGAAACTAATAAAATATTCATCAATCAACAAAGTGAAACAATCTCCTGATTCTGAAGTCGACTTCATTAGTTCATCTAATCGACATCAGCTCAAGCTAACTCCAGTTGAGTTCTAATAGGAATTAGGGGTGTATGGTACAACAGTGACGAAGATGCTTTATAAGTAGTCCTCCTACCGTTAAATGTACAACACCACCTGCTTGCTCTTGTTGCAGATGCATTGACTGAAGGGTGTAAGCAGCAGGATAATAATCATGCACAAAGAACAAAGCCGGAGTATCCTCCACTTCTCGACTAACGAAGGATTCTCTGATTGCAACAATATGAGGGTGCCGAGTAAAAGGTGCCCAACGCTCCACGGCTTCAATTGCTGTAGCTGCCAGCTCCACTGTAGGTATTACCTGCACAATGCGTGCAACTGATTCTGTTTATGGCATAGAGGCAATAACAAAACAGTAATACTGATCGAGAAAATAATCAATTAAATAACCTTGGTAGTTCATTGAGTTAGAAAATGACGTGTTACAAAGGCATTGTACTTTGAAACTCCACATGAAAAATGGAATACATTGCTGTAAGAACACAAATTGCGTATCATCTATTCTTGCATACTGAGCTACAAAAACATTTAAACTATCTGAGCATGATAGCATTTAGGACGCCCTTTCTAGTCAGAAATACGCTACACACGCATTACAGTGGACATCAAAATGTCACATAAGCAAGGTATGAATGCAGGATTGGACCATAGTAATTTGCAGCGGTTACGAGGGCATCAATGCAACCCACAGGCTTCTGCACGGAACAAGTTGCACATTAATTTAAGTGCATACTTACATAGTGTAATGTGATTACCTGGCGGCCGTCGATTCGCCGAATGGCATAGGCTTGACCGTCCAACGAAGAGATTCCTTTAAAGACCATCGTCCTCACACCAAATGAGGTACTTGGAATGTCATCATCACGATTTACATCCTCCAAGGGATACAGAGAATGAAATCGTTGCACCATCTCCGGTAAGTCAACAAGATCTTGCTCAGGGTCCAGCTGTCACCCCAATAATGCGTAAGTAGTAGACTCCATCTCTACAATCAAGCGTAGTACAATTTCGCCCTCAGAGAAGCATCATCTACGGCTAGATATCCTATGATAGAGGCATCTAAACGATTGAGGAATTTTATTCAACAAGTCTATATCCTTTCTCCTCACATTACAGATATAAGAAGCTTCATGAAGCTAATGTTGACCGTCTGGTTATCATTACAATACTTGTTGAGCATGTACAAATGAAGACTACATCAGAGAAGGGTGCTCAGGGTGTTTTCTATCCTCTAGTGCACAATATTCGAATAGAATTCCAAGATCACAGATGATTACTTCAAAAGACTGAATGTTCCATCATATAACACAAGCGCTCTAATCAATGTTGAGTAAGCATCTTCAAGTCTACGTTTAGGTGTATACCTGGGCATGAATCAAAGTGTGGCGCCGTCGGAGCTCCTCACGTAATTGATCTGAAATGAACCTTGACCCCAAGGGTGCAGTACCAGCGGGAAACTGGCTCCTCGCAGAACGAGATTCATTGCGCGAATTCGGTGAGCTAAATGCATGTGACAGACTGCTGATACCTTGGCCAGGGCCTAAGAAATAAGTGGCTCCACCATGTGTTGCAGCTGCGACCGTAGAAACTCCAGAAACTGGAGAAGCTGATCTCATAGATGGCAACCTTTGCTGGCTGTAGCCAGTACCAGAAAGAGTCCGTTGGCCCTAAAAACAACACAACGTCGTCAAAATAAGCAACTAATAAATTTCCCTCGAATTCTACATCTGAATTAGACTTGACAATACAAGCGAGGTTCAAGTTGTTTGTCAACTTCAAACCAAATTCAACTCCTTCGAAACTTCAACCAAGATACAAAGTGGTGAAGAGTTAGCGCTACCTCCACCCGTGATTCTATCAAGTCAAAAGAACATCCCTAACAGGGCAACTCCTCCAGGCAAGGTGTAAAATGAAGTTATTAATCTTATCATGTGAAGCCCATGCATAGAACCTGAGCTTGTTGCTGAAAGTGTTGCGGTTGTTGCGATTGCTGCGATTGATGCGATTGTTGCTGCATTCTATGACGCATTTGCTGTTGTTGCAGTGCCTGTAGCTGTAGATGTTGCTGAATTTGCACCTAATCACACAGCTCCGACCCAGAGGTATTTAGAATACCATAACCACGACTTGCAAATGAAAAATAAGTGCTAACCAAGTGTAGATCTATAAATAATAATAAAAAAAAAATCCTCATTTGTGCACAAACAACACGTCCACTAAAGCAGTCAAGGTGAGCTAACTACGCTTATGATAAGAAAATACAGTTCTGTCTTTCAGAGCACCTGCTGTTGATGATGGTGTTGTTCTAATGATGATTGCTGCTGCGAATTTTGAATCTGCCCTGATTGCTGAGTTGACTGCTGTGGACCGTTGGATTCTGAGGATTGCATAGAGAGCTGATCAGACTCTTGTCTTTCAGGAGAAGGACTCATGTGTTCTTGCACTTGTTTTTCACTAAGGAGTGCTAATGAAGATGGCACAAAGCCACTCCCCTCCGCTTGTGAACCAAGAAATAGAGACTTCTCAGCGGTTTGGGCGCCTAAACTTTGTGAAACCCGTAAGGAGTATGGTGGTGATTGAGATTGTTGCTGCAGTCAGTAAAATTTCTTATGAGACGAGGCGGTTCAAAATACCTTCCAGGCACATTTCTAAAAGATTGAGATTACCATTCTCCCAGAAATACCAATAAAACTCCACTGAAGATACAGGGAACAATTAATATGCTACCTCCGACTGTGTGCTCAACATTTGCTGCTGCTGCTGCTTCTCAGGAGTTTGAGCCCCTGTTCTCTGTGGTGGGCGTAAAGAGTAAAGCGATGACTGGCCAGAGAAAACCTGATGCTGAAATCAACAAAAATTCTAATTACACAAATGATTATAATACAAAATGGTCAGCTACTAGTTAAGGAACTACACGAAACCGAAATTGGAGCGAAAAACATGGAATATATCACTAAAATCAGAAATAATAGGATGCTCAGACACGATTGTGATAAGGTAGCCACAATCACCGAGCAGCTGCAAACACCTAACATCACATCTAACAAGAGGAAATACCTGCTGCTGCAACTGCAAGTTTTGCATATGCTGATGTAGTTGTGCCCTGACAAAGGATAGAGACGGCAGGCCCCCACCGTAATTGTGAGCAAACGGAGAACTGCTATCCACTTGTAAGACTCCACTTTCATCCCCAACAATTCCCATACTAGTCATAGCATCTGAAGGCGGGAGCACAGAGAGATCCCCACTACCCCCAACCCTGGCCAACAAGATCAAGTATCGTAACCATTGCTATGAGAAGAAAGATATGATTTGACTACAAAGTCAAGATGTATCGATCATGTATTCATAATCATATTTTGATTAGGGGGATGAGGTGCGGGAAGACTTGTTTGTGAGGGGACTAGTTTCAGAAATCAAAAAGTATGGAGTTAAGAAACTGAAGGAAAAATTCCTCACAGAACTCTAGTACCGCTAAGGATCATGTACTTGTTGTGGCAATGCAAAAGGAACCTATGAAAAATAATAATAAATAATAAAGTTTATTCATACATCTCACAGACAATGCTAACGTAATTGCATCAGGTAATGCCAAACTACCAAGACCTTGACTCCGTATTGCCATCAACATCAAAAAGTGTCAGCATCCTACGGCGAAATGTCTACAGTTGTTACAACAAACTAAAAACTGCCAAACAGCCAAATGTTGATCTGTGCACTAAAGTAGACCATGTACCAAGCACAAATTCTCCAAACAAGGTTCCCAAAATTAATAGGAATTATGTTTTCTTTCGAGCTAACAGCTCGTCTTAATTTGATGAGATTATTTCAATGCCAAAAACACAAGAACTTGTGATGAAGCCATATTCGAGAAGGTAAACTCAATTACTGATTCCTAACAGATTACTTGCCAACAAAACTTAACAGAATATACGGGTGTCAGAAAAAGAAAAAAAGAAACAGAGGCAAGTAACAGAAATCCCCATTATTGACATCATAGACACACCTGGCCAAGAACGCTGGATTAGGGGGAGACATAGCTGTCATGCCAAGAGCAGGATCGTCCCCATCAGGCAAGCGAAAGGAAGGTATGACCATAGGCACCTCCATCCCCACGTACTGATTGTTGTTAAGCACGTTTCCACCCATGCTGCGAGCTGCAGCGGCAAGCATTTGAGCTTGTGCTTGTGCTTGTGCCTGGGCCTGAGCTTGCACTTGGGCTTGAGCAGCAGCTTGATGTTGTATTTGCTGCTGCATTTGTGGCGACAGCTGTTGCCTCATTTGAAGTTGCTGTTGGGGTACAGACCCGTCTAATGCCACCAGAGACTGATTAGCCGGTTGTAAAGCCCTATCAATGCTGGCTGGTACCCCTCCCGTTGTTGCTCCAGTAACGAGGTGCTGCCTTGATCTTGGTATAAATGGAGCAGCACTAATTGCTGAGGCAACTGATCCCCCTGATGGTACAAACGGTGTTGCATTTGCACTACCGACACTTGCTCCTTGAGTAGGCCCATTTGAGCTTCCACTGTTTGCAGAAGAAAGGCTAGGAATGAAGGGTTGTGCGTTCAGCAAAGAATTGCTAAATGTGGAGGAGAGCGGGGTGCTAACAGACACACCACTGGAAACGGTAACTGGAGCTATCCTGACTTCAGCTTTTTGAACCAGAGCTGCTAAATCTGAGGTTGTTTGAGCATCAACAGATGTCTGACCTGATGATACACTAATGATGTCATTCTGTGTTGGAGAAGTAGATGTAAGGGTGGTTTGTGAAGTCACCGCGGTACGTTTCCCACTACCAGGGGTCACACCACCCCAAGCACTCAAAGAGGCTCTCTGGGCTGCTGCCACTGCTGCAGGAACAAATGCTGGGGCAGACACCGGTAGCCTATTATTCCTGATTGCAGCTGCGTACAGACAAATAATCACAGTATTGTGAAATTTGAAGCGAGTGCGGGTAACAATGTTCAATACTCTCAGTTGGAGTCAAATTTAGATATGTAATTAACCTGCCCATTCCTCGAAATTGTGTATGGATACGTTGTATGTGAAATGATGCTGACTTAAGGGTGATGCGTTGGGGAAAGATATGGATATGAGACGGACTGCTAGTATACATCTAAGAGCAGTAATAATTAATTCGTCAGGAGAGTTTCACCAGCTGTCCTGCCCGGGCTAAGGGTAGTTGATGTCGTTGACGGCCAGGACGAAAACACTGGTGAAGCTGCCACGTTGGTAGTGGTTGAGGAGGATGCAGAAGGAGGTCTGCAGCAATCCAGAAAACCAGAAGATGGTCTAAGTTTCAGTTCATACATCTCCAATCAAATATTTTTATTATTTTTGGGTTTGTCTGTTAGAGACCCCTGTGAGAACTAAACTTTGAGAGAGTAAGGGCTAAACTGCCTAGAAAATTTACACTTTGAGCCTAGTGTAATTGGGCCAGAATAGACATACAGTATGGCCTCCAAAAACTCAAATATAGGTTAAACCGAGGCGGGTGCTTCAGTAACATATCAACAATGGAGCCTAGCTTGTAAGTTCGGACATCATTTAAGTCTTCAAAAAAGGTTTATAATTGGAGTTTGGACGGAACAAACTCTGAAAGTATGTCAACCGCAGAGTGTAGAGGGTCATTTCTGGATTCAAAAATATATCAATAAAAACTATAACAAAAAATCTTACCCTGCACGAATTACGCCTGGAATCTCATGATTGTATTCGCATCCATTTTTCTCATTCTGGAACACCAGCTTAAAAGGTAACCACCCCAATAATGTCATCATAACAAACATTATCAAGAGACAAGCATCACCACATAAAAGCAAGTTATACGGCTAAAAGACGGGTATGACCCTATCGGCTAATTTACTTAAATCATTAGTACATCACAGAAATGGTGATCACTTCTGAGTAAACGGACCTTGCAGTAACCAGTGAGAAGAAGTTCTTTGCAGGCCTTCTCACGCTTAGGTACTGAGACACCCGGGGAACAACAAAAGTTAGAGACAAGCAATGCCTAAAGTTAAAGCATTCCAGCTGCTGCCACCAACTGCAGTTACGAGTTAGTGTCTCAGTTGAAATGATAATCTTGTACACTACACGATTATATTAACATACATACGGCATCCTCAATGCAAAAAACGGGGAGAAACTTAAAACCTGTTACGAGCTGCAAACAGCCAAGTAAGGTTCTAAAGTGATCAGGCTTCTTCAAAAGAAACCTCTTTGTGACAAAACCTGGAGGAATCCCAGCCACTACATGGAATACATGTGCCTAGTTCGGCGAGGTCTAGTTATGAATTATGCCACCGCAAACATTCTTAAACCTAATTTACCGATGATTATATATCAAGGAACTTGTACCACTGCAATCATGTTTTTACTAAGAGGTAGACGTGCAACTCACCAGATCTTCCTGACGCAGCTCTATCAGCAGGATTATGAGCGAAGTTGCACTGATCACCAAAAAAGCAAGTCCCTGATGTTGCCCAGTAGCGACAAGTGACATTGCTGCACCACAAAAAAACAAAGAAAGAATTTCATAATCGCAAATCAAGTGTACTTATCATCGAATTTGCAAATTAAACCGTTGTAAATTGTGTTTTATGCAGTCCCTGATGAAGATGTAATTGGTCTCGTTGTCTCCCGAGTGTGAATGCAAGTCAAATTAGGCAATAATAGTAAGAAGAGCATCAAGAATAGCATAAGTCAAAACTTTAGAACTTGAGAGAGTGCTTCTTGAATAAGAGTATCCACTGGAATCTCCACAGATGAATGGTTACGCAGCCAAGACACGAGTTTGTTGTCGATTACTGACGCTAAAACCACAATACAGGGACATACTGCCTGCATCATTGTCTAGAATTCAATAATAGACGAAAGCCCAAGCTACAATAGGCAGACCTGATCCGACAGTTCTTAGGTACGAATTTCAACTATGTTCTTAACTGTGCATTTTACTTACTAGCTTGCCTTGAGTGTGCACAAAAATCCACCCCGTACAGATTCAGTGCTGGATAAGACACAACTTGTTTAAGGTTGATTAACTGAGCCTCAAAAGAAGCTCCACAAAAACTATCAACGCGGAGGGGACAACTGTTTTCAAAATCTTCCTCAGGTTGAGAACAAGCTCAGCATAGTGCATTCCAAAATTGGTCCCTTTAAGAACGCTACTTACACGATAGATGTCTAGACATGCCCCCCGGAGAGAGGGTCTCAACGAAACCGTTCCAAATGCCGTATGAGTTAATGAATCACTATGTATTTTGGTTGAGTAGGAAAGTTTGTGAGATTCGGAAAACAAGAGTTGTGACGATACCTGGGAGGAGGCTTATGTGGTGACGCACTCATTGCAGCGGAGGGGGTTTACGTCCATGACACTCTCAACTCCTGGCTGTAACCATCTTGTTTCTCCTATAACAAAGCTGCCGCAACTCTAAAACCTGTCTCAGACTAACCGTAGACAACAAATCGCTCCCTTCGCCTCCAATCCCTACAACATTCCACACACAATTTAGACGATCACAATGCCGCCCTTCAAGTCAGGCAATCAGGTACTGAGCATACAACCAAAGCTTCGTCTAACTAATCTAGGGTTACTCGACTCCTTGCCCTGTTGTAAGAAACGTCCGCGACGACACGGAGCAACAAAAGAGTAACACAGGACCCGAGAATCCTGCGCGCAATACCTCCACCAAAGCTCTCCCACACAGGACACTATCAAATTTTCTGGCAGCATGGCAATGCGTGCACTCACACAATGAGGATTTGATGGCATCCCAGTGCTAAATGCCCACGCCCAAACTCGAGAACACACCATTAACCACACCAATAACAAAGCAAACCAAATAATAAAAGCAGAACCCAATCATTACGTCGCCGCTAAGCTCCCAACTCAGTACTCAAGCCGAACCCATCTCTCAATTCCGCAACCCACACCCAAACTGCAATGCAACACGGAATCATCCAGAAGGGTTCCAACCGGAGTCCGAATCGGGGCACAATCCCCCACGAGTCCTCTGCCAAAATCCTAGTCCCACAGGAACCAATTCTCATACCAAACCGAACCGACTCAGAGAGCTTTACAACCTGCCGATGGTGAAGCAAAACAAGCGCTCCCACAATTAGCTCCCGGGAAGAAATAGGACTTGACTAACTCCCCAACTGACAACGAAGAGAGGAAGAGCGAAGGGCAGACAGAAGGCAGACGGACAACAAAAATAAAAATTGAAAAGTACCCACACCATGCGACTCACAGCGACGACCTCCTCCCCGAACGCCAACATTCAATCACCCTCGCCCTTCCATCAAGCCACCAAACCCGCACATTTAGAAGGAATGGGTGAGCAAATTTCATCCTTCACTAGCGCATTGCAGTTGAATAATTCTCGTTCTGAAATTAAAAACAAAAAAAGCCTTTGGAGTCGTCGAGTAACGAAGCTGAGCAGCGTGTAGGGAAAGCAGGGAGGAGGAGGAGGGAGGTGGTAGCGTTGGGGAGTGGAATCTACAACTACGCCTACAAGTGATGGTGGATTACAGAAGACTAGGGGTAGAAAACTGTAGCCGGTGATGACTCAGTCGGTTTTGCAACCCCCCCCCCCCCCAAAACACCCATTCTCGGATTTGTAAGATTTGAGAGAAACGTAGATGATGCGACACAATAGAAACCCAGAGCGTGCGATTGCAGACATGAGGCCTAGTCGTTCTCACCCGATTGCTGGATTGCACGGCGCTGAATCTAAACTATCTTCCGGCCTCGCTTCGCCTCCCGTGCGGACAGAGGGATTGGTGGAGGTATTGCGCGCAGGATTCCCTCCGCACGCGCTGCGGGCAGCGTAGAAAGTTTCCTTCCAGGTAAGGGCAGTGTTGCAATTGTTTTCTCCGGGCACTGAAAGCTGCCCATGCCCGCTTTTCTTCGATCTGTGCTCTCTCGTGATCTTCAGTTGGTGCGTCGTCTCCCCTTGGGGCCCTGTACCCGCGGTGGTTTCTCCCAACTCATCCTTTAAATATACGTGTTTGTGTGTTTGTGTGGAGATTGCTCACACTTGTGCATTTGTTTTCAGCTTGACATGGTCGTCTAAATGACGTTCTCCTTTTAGAAACTTTTGATTGCACGTTGTATAATTTATACAAAAATAAATATAGTTTACAAAGTAATATATTATTGATAAAATGTCATCTTAGTTTAGAAATAAGAAGTGTTCAATTTTAGATGCATTTAATTTTAAACTAATAATTACTATGAATATGATTGAATAAAAAATAATTTGCTAGATATAAAGAATAAATGATTTTATTAAGCATGCACGCATTATAAAATGTATGATGACCATGTTTCTGTTAGGGACAAGAACTCGATGAAAGTAAATAAATAAGTATAATAAAATCGAAATAAAGAAGTATATATATTAAAAGGAAATTGGAATGGCTATTGCCAAAAGACAAGGAAACTAGAGACTCTTGAATCTAAATTAGAAGCAAGAAAGGAGTTAACAAGAGTAAAGAAGGCTTTATTCTTATCTCTAAAAATTTCAATTTTAATTTTAATCACAATATGTCATCCAATGAGTTAGTAAATGATGGCTCTTCAGTTGAGTTTTCCAATTGTTGCTTCTCCATCTCCTTGATGCCACAATTATACAAAAATTACAAACAAAGATAGAAGATAGAATGCATTCTTTCCTGAATTGTGTTTCATTCATAATAAAGATTTGTTATCCTTCATCTTGGTTTTGATGGATGTTGTTGATGAAAAGCCTCCATTATCTTTGTTGAATTTACAAGATTCTTTGCTAGCTTCCACATGCGTTCACTAATATCATGTTTGCGTCAATAGACAAGATATTTCAATTTATTTGGCATCGCCTTAGGTCTAGAACTTCTTCTACTTCAAACTCTTCATTATTGTCTACTTCTATAAGAGGAGGTGGAACTTGTCTTCTTCTTAGTATGTTTACAATTTTGTATGATTCAAAAAAAGACACATAGAAGATAGAATGAATCTTCATTGACTCTGATAGATGTAATCGATAAGTAGTTGGATTTGTTGATTTATTGAAAAATAAGAAAAGATCCAAGCCTGCAATAGTCCAACTTATCACAAAGATAAGTAATTTTGATATTACAATGAAGTAACCATATCTTGTGACATACATTAAATTATGGTTGTTCATTTTAATAGGCACCTATATTGAACTTTTATTCTTCTTGAGCTTTCTTTAATTACATTTTTATAGTTATATGTAGCTTTGACAATTGATTTGCCAAATCTTCCACTACACAATTATTAACTTTTGAAAAGTCAAAAGTATCAAATTGTGAATGATAACTATAATTAGTAAAGAAAGAAATTTATTACATAGAAGAATGCACCATATTATTATAAGCAAATTCTGCTAATGGCAAAAGAGTTTCTCAATTGTCTTATTGGTAATTAATCATATACCTTAAATACTGCTCCAAAACTTGATTTATATATTCTATTTATCCATCAGTTTTAGGATGAAAGGTTGAAGATAGCTTTATGTCTACCTTTAAAATCTTTAAAAGGATTCTCCAAAATCTTGATACAAATTGAGTCTTCCTATCTTATATAATATCTTTCGATAATCCGTGATATCGATAGATATTATCAACGAAAAGCTTGACTATTTCTTCACCTTTGATAATTTTGTACATAATACAAAATGTACCATCTTCGTAAAATAATCTACTATCACAAATATAGAATCATACCAACCTAAGATTAGAAGATCCATAATAAAATCCATAGAAACAGAAGACCATGATTGTTCTATAATAGGTAATGGCTGAAGAAGACTATAAGGTCAATGACGTGGAGTTTTTGATCTTCAAAAAACATCACATGATTGAACAAAATCTTTGACTGCCTTCCACATTTGAGGCCACCAAAAATTTCTAGATATTAACTCTAAAGTATTTTTATATCCAATACGTCCAACTACTTGAAAATTATGGGGTGCTTAAAGAATACATAAATGTACTTTTCTTTTTGGAACATATAGGCATTCTTCAAAATAAAGTAGATTATTTTTGAATTTAAATTTGGAAGCATCATGAGACTCAAAAGAAGGATTTTTGATATCATGAACAAAAAGATGAAAAGACATACTTGATTGAATTTATTAGACAAAGGTTGAATCAATAATCAATGTTGTTTTCATAATTCAAAGATAAAAATACTTGGACTTCAAGAGAATCATTTTATATTGATCAAAAGATGCATCTCCTTCTTTTGATATGAGATAAGAATAACTAAAAAGGATGTCTAAAAAATCTTATTATTTTTCAAGCCAATATGATATCTTAAAATCAAATCTTGATAAGGATATGCTCAAACTTACTTGGCGATAATTCAAAACATGTGTAGACATGAAGCATTTGAGATTCTTATGATTTTTATATATATAGTGATTAGATTGAAAGCACCTTCTAAATAATGATGTCATTTTTTAAAAGAATCCACAATTACAAGAAGCTCTTTATCATGGATTTCATAGTTAATCTTAACTGCTAAAAATTTCTTAGAATGAAAAGCTATTAGGTGAAGTTTATCATCTATTCTTATTTGTGATAATATAACATCCAAACCAAAGTCTGATGTGTTTGTTTCTATAAAGAATGCCTTGGAGAAGTCAATACAATACAAAATTGGTGCAAAAACAAAGATTGTCTTTAAAGCTTCAAATGTTGTTTCCACTTCTTGATTTCATTGAAGTTTATCTTTATGAGTCAAACGTATAAGTAGAGTTGTAACTTGAAAGAAGTCTTTGATAAAGATTTAATAGTAGTTAGAAAAGCTCAAAAAATATTAGACACTTCATATCATTTTTAGAATCTTCAAATCCATAATAGTTTAAACTTTCTTAGGATTTATGATAAGTCCATCATTTGAAATGATATAATCTAAGAAATCAACTTGAGTAGTATTAAATACACACTTTTCTATCTTAGTATATATGAGTGTAAATTTTCACTTTTCAAATCAAGTTACAAGATGGCCTCAATTGAGAGTTGCTTGTAATTGGTAGTATAAAGTGAAGTAAGCAAATAACAAGAAGAAAAGAAGAACAACCACAAAGCAATTGAAATAAATGATATGAAGCAATTACAACACCTAAAACCAATTTAGAGTTTGTTCTTTATATTTTTATTCAATAAAAAATAAAATTAAAAAATTAAAAAATATATTTTTAAATATAAAATTTTATTATCTTTCCAATGACATAAAAAACATATAAATCCGAATTACTATGAATAAGTTATGAAGTTTTAAAGATTTGAAGTAAATAATTAAAAAGTGAAGTGAAAATATTTTACCTTAAAGATAACTTGCTTATAGATCAAGGATTTGAGCCTCACCAAGATTCACATGTAGTATATATGGATGTCTAAGAGAGGCCACGAGGCCTTAGTCTTATCCTCTTAACTACCTTCAAGGAGCTACAACCCATATGGACCTTGTGCACCTCCCTTCCTATAAGGACTACACTAGCTACTGGTCTTCTTATTTTCTACCAGAAGAACCAATATTTTTGCAATTTTGACCTCACCATGGTATTCAAAAACATCCAATTAGCTTACAAGTCTTTTATGGCCTTCAAATCTTACTCCATTTCTTCATAAAGGCTCACAAAGTGGTAAAACTCATTTTTACAAAGATCTTGAAAATTACTCTAAAAATTCCTAAAAAATTCTAAATAAAATTCTAAATAAAATTTAAAAAATTCTATAATATTTTAAAATTCTAATATCCATCTAAGGCTATATTTTTCTACATTGGTGATTTTTTATAATAATAAAAATCAATTTAAATCCACTATAAATCTTATTTTTTATATCAGTGATTAAAATGACATGAGGTTCTTTCTCATGCTTCTTCTAACTACTAACATTTATAGTTTTTATAAGTATTATATATAGATAAAAGACCAATATAAATATTTTTCTTAATAATAATCCCTAATATTCAACAATAAATAAAAATACTAAACCAACAAAAATAATTACGTCCAAGACTTATTAAGACTCCATTTCCACTACTAATATTCTAATTTTCTATTTTTCTAAGTATTTCTATACTATTCACTATATATTGTGATTTAAAGCATTGTAAATGCATATTTTTATCCTAAAACAAAAAGTGAGTTAATTTGATGACTCACAACATAGATTCTTACATTTCTTAATTTTTATAAGACATAACAAATATGAAGTTCATATTCTTTTATATTCTTAGAATAGATTAAGATGTCATGTAAAAAACAAACAACAAAATTGTCCAAAAATTCTCAAAAAACATCATTCAGAAGATGTTGAAAAGTTGGTGGTGCATTTCTAAGTCCAAAAGGTATGACATTATATTCAAAATGTCCATACTTGATTGAAAATGTAGTCTTCAATTCATCTCTTTTTTTAATGCATACCAGATTGTATGCTTTTTATAGATCTATTTTTGTATAGATGTTAGCTTGATTCAATTGATCAAAAAGTCCAT